TATAAATATTTTACTATATAATATTTTTGTATATATTTTACTATATAATATTTTTATATATATTTTATCGCACATAGGTTTCGGTTATGTGCCCCAAACGCCTTGGCTGCAGCGTGGCACCATACGTGATAATATCATTTGGGGCAGTGTCTTTGATGAGCAATGGTACAAAGCTGTTGTTTATGCCTGTGCGCTTAATGATGACTTAGAATTATTGGGCAGTGATTTAACTGGTATTGGCGAAAATGGGCGTACGTTGTCAGGCGGGCAAAGAGCGCGTGTGGCTTTAGCGCGAGCAGTTTATCAAGATAAAAAAAGTAAGAGTCATGTAAAATGCTAATATTAATTCGAAAAAAAATTGATTTTATATAAAGAATTGAGAATGTTTAATATTATTCTTCTTGTGCACAGTCTATTTGTTGGATGACATACTCGCTTCATTGGATGCGCACGTTTCACGACACATTATCAAGCATTGTATATTGGGACTGCTAAAGGAGAAGACTGTTATTGTGGTTACGCGTAACGTATCGCTATTTTATCACGCTCATCAGGTAGGGTTTTCAAACTATATGCCCATATACACATGACGGGGAGAGAGGAGGAGATTGGGTACAATTTCTCCCGTGCCAAGTGCTCTCAGGCGGGCTTGCTGCTCTGCAACAATTATTATTATTTTTTTTTTTGCAGATTTTTTGTCTAACAAATCATGTCCGAGCTCCGATTTTCTCTCTACGGCCCTGCATACAAATATTCATCCGCCAGTACTGATTTAAATATATCTCTCCTCTTATATAGATAATCCATGTGGAGGATGGCAAAGTAACACCTAGTCAATACATGTTTTCAAGTATTGATATAAATTTAGAAACGGAAGCAGGCGACACTGACGACATATACGATTGCACACGCAGATCTTCACTTGCGCTGGAAGATCAAAATGCTTCTGATAAAAAGAGCGTTGATAGCATTATGTTAGAGGTATAAATTTCCTTTAGTTACTATAATATTTGAAGAAATAAATTAATAACGCTTGCGCTGCAGGAATCACGCGAATATGGTAAAATCTCTTTGAGTGTGCTTTCTTGTTATTGGCGCGCCATTGGCACACCGCTGGCCGTGACCACATTAACTTTTGTAATACTTATGCAATTGACGCGAAATTTATCTGATGCATGGTTGGCACATTGGGTAACCGATACCACATTGGATCCACAAAACAATGACACAACTCTGGAGCATATTGTTCACGTACCGCAGCAGTTTAGCAATCACACTGTGCCACCACACAACACGGGCTATTATCTTGGAATTTTCGCTTCACTAGCAGTGCTGAATTCGCTGGCGACAATTGTACGCGCATTCCTCTTCGCTTTTGCCGGCATCAAAGCCGCCATTTATATACATGAACGATTGCTGCATAAAGTGTTATATGTAAGTGAGCATTAAAGTGATAGCAGCGCAAATTTATATTAATTAATATACAATTTTGATACTTGCATTTATTTTCAGACAAAATTCAATTTCTTCGACATCACCTCGGTTGGTCGCATTTTGAATCGATTTTCCTCGGATACTTACACAGTCGACGATTCATTGCCATTCATACTAAATATACTCTTGGCACAGCTGCTGGGTCTGGCAGGTAATATTCACTTTGTTCTTAATACTTTGTATCTGGTAACAGATAAAACAATAATTTTTAGGTGCACTTTGCATCAGTCTATATGCCATGCCTTGGTTGGGTCTGATTATCATACCGATGGTACCGATTTATCTCAATCTACAATATCGCTATCGCCACGCTTCGCGTGACATAAAACGACTCTCGAGCAATGCACTATCGCCACTCTATACACATTTCACAGAAACACTGCAAGGTCTGGTCACCATACGTACCATGCGTGCGAGTGCACGTTTCCAACGTGACTTCCACGCCAAGCTGGAGGAGAGCATTAAGGCGCAGTTAACATCGGCGGCAGCACAACAATGGTTAAGTCTACGCCTACAACTGTTAGGCGTATTGCTTGTAGCTGGCGCTGGCTTTTTAACTGCCATAACATCGGCACATGTGACCAATCCCGGACTAGTTGGTTTGGCCATTTCGTATGCACTTTCTATTACTGGGCTGCTAAGTGGTTTACTTAATGCTGTTGCGGAAACAGAACAGGAATTTGTCGCAGTCGAACGTGTAAATGAGTATATGCAATTGGAGGGTGAAGAAAATGCTGAAGGCACTTGTGATCCGCCGTTCGGTTGGCCGAGTCAGGGTGCATTGAAATTCGAAAATGTGGAACTGCGTTATCGCGACAATATAGCGCCGTCGCTACACGACATCAATTTGCGTACAGAGGCGTTTGAGCGTGTTGGCGTTGTGGGTCGCACTGGCGCAGGTAAGTCGACGCTTGTGGCGGCTTTGATGCGTGTGGCGCCACTAAGCCGCGGCGAGATCTCGTTGGATTGTGTTAATTTGAAAACTTTAGCTGTGAAAGTGCTTCGCGAGCGTTTGGTTATTATAACGCAAGATCCTTTCCTGTTCGAAGGTAACACATTTTGCTTACTAAAATTAATATTTAATTTATATATATATTGAAAATGTAACACAATTCAGGCAACGTACGCGAAAACCTCGATCCACGCCACACTTATTACGATTCGGAAATATGGCATGCACTAGCTACCTGTCATGCGGCCACACAACTAGTGCAATCGCTTGGTGGCTTGGATGGACGCATCGAGAAGGGCGGCATCAATCTGTCAGCCGGTCAGCGGCAACTTATGTGCCTATCACGCGGTTTACTCAAAAATGCAAAAGTGGTTTGCATTGATGAGGGCACCTCCAATTTGGACGACGAATCAGCTATCGCTATGCAACAAGCGCTGCGAAATTCGTTTAAAAGTTCAACGGTGCTCTTTATAGCGCATAGATTACGCGGTCTACAGCTGATGGATCGTATTTTAGTTATCGAGCATGGTGAGATCGTAGAGGAGGGCACACCACGTGATTTGGCTCAAAACACAACATCACTCTTCCATAGCATGCTGCAAGCGCAACGCATCAATGTTGAGGAGTTTTGTGCGAATTAGCACCTCAATACTAATAGTCATTCGTAGTAAGGTAAGGTCTACAATATATGATAATTTTTAATTCATAAATATGTTATAAATATATATAAATACTTTGACCATTATAAAAAATTATTTTTTATAAATTTAACTGAACTGAAATGCAGTTATGTTTTTGTGAAAACATTCATATTTATGTAGAGAAATTTACCTGTATGTACAGATTCTGCAGCAATAATATATAAAATATATATATATTTTACCTAATACAGTAATTGTTTTGATAGCCAAAAAGAAATATATTTATTATAAAATAGTAATTTACTAAAAAATTATATGAAAATTATTTTAAATAATAAATTGAATTCGTTTCGTCGAATAGTATTACAGTTATATTCGCTGCAACTGTTATTGTAAAATCAAAATGTATACACAAACCTTGTTATTTTGGTTTTGACGCCATAAAATCCTTCACAATTAAGTGACAATCTGTTTTCGGCTTTAACAAATAATTTTTTTTTTGTTTTTATTTTTTTGTAAGTTTGTTTTTTTCCAAGTGTTATGAAAGTGTTATATTTCTTGTTTCGCCATCTTGTTGTGGCTTTGTTGTTATTCTATTAGCAGCCTTAAAGTATAAGATTCTATTTTTCGGCATGGAACAGTTCGCTTGATGATTTTTCTTTTTTATACTTTTACAATAACAAAAAATCGGGGAAAAAGTTCATAATTCCAACTCAGTTCTAGCTTATATGTATTTGTGTTCATTACATTGACACTTCCGGTGGCATCAAAAAAACATTATCATTGAAATGTTTATTTTAATACCCTGAACAGCGTATATTAAGTTGGTCACAAAATTTGTAACACCGAGCAGGAAACGTTAAAGACCCTTTAAAATATATAAATATGTATATAAATGAACAGCGTAACGAGCTGAGTCGATTTTGCCTTGTCCGTCTGTCTGTCTGTCTGTCTGTATATATATGTGTTAATTCCTCAGTTATTGAGTTATCGAACTGCAATTTCGCACAAGTCCTTTTCTGCCCAAGAACCTGCTCTTCTGTCGGTATCGCCGATAACTGACCATTATAGCATAAAGCTGTCATACCAACTGACCGATCAAAATTAAGTTCTTATAAGGAAAACTTTTTTATTTCACAAGATATCTTTACGAAATTTGTTGTTGCTGTTGTTGTAGCGGTAGAATTCTGCCGAGTTGACAGTCCTTGGCTTAAATAAATCCGGGTCCGTTTCAGTTACGTAGACCCGACTGTCGTAGGAACGGAAATTTGTCAAGTATTATAGTCAAAATCAACGCTATAAAATCCGTACAAATTTTTCAGTTCAAACCACTATAGCATATAACTGCTATACAAGCTGAACGTTGAAAATCAAGTGCTTCTATAGAAACTTTTTTTTGTGATGGGTATTCCAGCTACGCTGCAATCAAAGTAAACGTTTCTTCTTGTTTTATTTATCTCTCACTCTTGCATAGAATGCTGGCTGCTATTGTTCTTAAAATACTAAATTATACGCCAAAAAGTAATTGTAAATTTTATTTTATTATGTATTTAAAATACTTCACAAATTAGTTTTATCACAAATGTTACAACAAGTCTCAATGAGAAATGTGGTAATACAAATAGTTTTACTGGTAATATATAAAATGTAGGATTGATTTTATAACACTTCAACACGGCGTCAGAAACATAAGAATCATTTAATTATACATATAAATGCTAAGTTATCTAGGTAACTAAATCTATATAATATTATTAGTTCGAAATTCTGCACAATTCATTTTCACTTCGATTTTATAATTTGAAATTTAGTTTTTTAAAACTATTAAATACTTCAAATAATTTCTTATACTTTCTATGCGCTATAAATCCGGTGTGGTGCCTTCGTAAAATAGTCAATACTTAAATATTTCAAGGTAACAGTGAAAGCATCGTAATTTTCGTGCATATTTTAACATAACAACTAAGATTTTGAACAATGAATTGATAATTCAAATTTGGCATACTTTCTTTTTTAAATTTTAAAATAATCAACTTAAGTTTAAAAATAAGCAGCATTCTTAGAAACATCTGTTACGGAAACTTTTGCTTTGCCTTTGCAAACTTTTCAATTCAATTTTTGCAATTTAAATACTTAAAATATACATACATGTATGTTGGCATACATATAATAAAATCTGCATTACTATACTTTATAATTTTACACACAAAAGTAATCTTAATTTAAAGTTAAAATTATGTGAAAAGGCAATATAAATACACATGCGCATGCACATACATGGTAAACACATGCAAAAGCGTATTGAAATGCGTCAAAACAAAAAAAAAAAGCGAAAAATTACAAATAAACTGTAGCTTCGTGTACGTGCCAGCTGTAGCATCAACAGCTATTCTAAAACTACTTAGGAATTTTGTAAAACTTATCAAGTTGGAAAATATATATGCATATACTTGTACTTGTGTTTAGTAGATTCTTATACGCATATGTGTGTTATAAGCAAATCCTATACATATTTGTATCAACTACATATACATAACATACAAATGCATTAATACTATATTTGAAATATTTAGATTTGTAATTGTAATACTTCCATTTTGAATACCACAATCCAATTTAATGCTACCAAAGTGTGTGTTATTTGTTATGCGTGCATGGAAATAATATAACTATTTATTGCGACAGTTGTAGAGCATCTCTTTGGGTTCACCGGTAATATGCTCGAATTGATAATTCTCAAAAGGTGGTTCACTAAGTAATTTATTGAATTCGCTTTCAAACGCACTAATTGATTTCTGCAATTTGCTGTCGACATTAAACTGTAATAATTAAATGAAAACATATTTGTTAAAAATATCAGTAATCGTGTATATTTTAATAATTTTTTTTTTTTTTGAATATTTCCAAGCACCTTTAAATATTCCTTGCCAGTGTGCATTATTTTCTTAACATCGTGTACAACTTCGAAAATATGCTGGTAACCACCCACTTGACACTTGAGTATTATGGAACGTACATCCATAAAATCGTGTTTATGCTTTGCCATGAATTCAGGGAACTGTTTACAATTTGCATACGAAAAAAAATTTTAAATTTGTATTTTTAACAATTACTTTTGCAAAACTTACATAACTTTTGGTAAATTGTAATTTGAAAAACAATTCTGCATGTTTCATTGACATCAGACGCTCAATCATCACATTCAATTTATCGATGAGATCCTTACCCAACGGACGCGGCGGTGCATTTGGATCGTAATCGTTAGAAAATTCCGTTAAATTTTGCTCGAGCACACGTATATCATAACTTAACCAATTTGGTGGTATTTTTTCTTTAATTTTCAAATACTCAGCAGCTGCTGCAGTATCCACATCGGTGGCTGGTGGCCAAAATTCGGAAATTTGTTCATCGAAATACTGTTCGAGCGTATTATTGTTAGCCAGCAAGTGCTGTGTCGCCGTGCTTGTAGCGGATGTGCTAGTCACACTTGTAGTCACATTGTTTATTTGGTCGACAAGCAAGGCATCCTTTTTGATTGGATTGTATGTGCCCGTTTTAAAATATGTGCCATTTACAGTGGCCTGACGTTGACTACCCTCAGAGTCTTCAACCATTGTGTAAAGATAATTTTTATTCAGCGCATTCTGTGTTGATTTTTCGGTAGATGTATTTAGAAAATCGAACGAATCATCAATCAGTGAATTAACTGGTTGTAATAATTTAATAGGCGTTGTGCTAGGCGCTGCACGTGTGCCATTATTTTCGGAATTCTGATATACATTCTTCTGCGATTGCACCAAATTGTCGAGATTTACAAATGATTTTATAAGATTCTCTACAAAATCCATTGTGGTATCCTGCCAGGCTGCAAAACTAGCTGCAAAATCGGGGCTTAAGGCAGACTTCACTTTGTTAAGTCCTTCCGGTGTATTATAGACGTAACCCTTGATAATAATCCAAGCATTGATGACACGTGTGAAAACAAAAATAAAGTCCTTTACGGCCCAAGCTATACCCTGTGAATTTATATTGGGTAAAACGCCATCTGGACGTATCAGATCCTGTTTCATGCGCGCACAGAGACTATCGATCTTTTTGAAACATGGCCGATTACGATGCGTATATGCAAGTTTTTCAGCAATTTCACTACCACGCAGTGCTAGTCGTGTTAGCTCATTAAATTTTGCTTGCGAAAGTGTTACGGTGCAGCTGCCACCACTGCCAGGCGAATTGGTTGCATTAGTGGCATCACCGCCGGCGCCACTGCCAATTGCATTACCATTGCATATACCGGTGCTGTTGTTGAGGTCACTTTTCAAAAGAAAAAAATTATATAAACAATTATAATTTCAATTTTGCAAATACCATAAATAGATTGAAACTCACTCGGAACTTAACAATATCGGTGAACTACGCAATGAAGAGGTCTCTACAAATATGATTTATAAATATGTAAGAAATATAAAACCTTGATAATTGACAATTTTTTTTTAATATAAGTACTAACCTTTGTTCTCCTTCTCTGGTACACCACCACAAAAATTCAGCAAATTCACTTTAGCTAAAGACGCATTGATCTCATTCATGGAATTGAAATTTAGTGGCGAATTCTGACTAACACATTGCAAGCCAATTTGTATATTAATTTTGTTTGAATCATTCGTTTGAGAACGCAGCGTAGGAACACCGCTGGAAGACGTAGCACTACTAGTGGACGCAGAGGACGTGCCAGAACCAGGAAGTGTATTGGCTGCCGATATTGGTGATATATTGTTACATTGCTGTGGTGCATTCGGCATACTTTGTTGCATTCCGGCCGCAGCCGCAGCCGCTGCCGCTGGATATATTGGCACAGCTGCGTACGGTAAGGTGCCAGCTAGTGCGTATGGTAATGCCATATTTGGCGCAGGTAGCATAGGTGACAGGAATGTAGCTGTTCCGTATGGCCATAATGCATGCATCTCTTTAAAAGTAAAAAAAAAAATAATGAAGTGAAAATTTCAACCTCAATTTCGTTGTTACCTTGATTCATCATATTAGCTAAACGTAATCTCTCCATTTGCTGCTGATGTTGTAGTGTTAATGCAATTGGTGTTGATACAGATGCTGTAGTTACAGACGCTCCTGCGCACACTGTTGTTCCGCCGATAAGCGTATGCTGTGGCTGCTGCGACAGCGAATCGATGATATGTTCTGTAGGTTGTAGTGTTACTGGTAAAGTAGCAGTGCAATTTGCTCCTGCCAATACGATATTTGTTCCAGACAAATCTACCGGAAGTGCATTTGATTCGAGCGAATTGATGCCCAAAATCTTACGTGCTAAGTAACATTAACACCCACAATTATTTAAAATATAATAATTTGCACCTTTTTGAAAGTATATGTTAAAATTTTTATATTTATATATATGTTTCTAATAGGTGCTTTTATATTTTTTCTGATATTTATTTCAATTTTCTCCTATTTTTCTGTGAAAATTAACTAACGTGAAAAATCTTGCCTACTACGTCTTAAGAATTTTGTTCAATAATTCATAAATGCAAAGTGTCAACGGCTTCGCCGATCAAAGGCAAGTATTTACAAATTTAACCATGTACAGACGTATGTACTTTTGTGTGAAATATTTCCGGCGGATACAAATTTAGTAATGACCTAAAACGATCTCTTAAAAATGAAACTAATAATTATTTGTACCAAAACTTTAATATTGTATTACAAATATATTCATTTAACCTTCAAATTTATCGTGCCTCCTTATTTTAATTATTTACTCACGCTGTCTTTTTACTACTCGTATTTGCTGCTGTTCGTTCATATTTTCAAAATGGTTGCAACACGATGATAACCGCCTAACGAATATTGCTTCCTTTTTCGTTGATGTTGGCGAGAGGAAAAGGAAGCCTTTTCAGCTGATTTGTGAGTTCGTTACTTTCGCAAAATTTTATTGTAATAAATTTACCAATTTACTCATCTAATTTCATAATTCATAAGCGCTTCTTATAAAAAGAATTTTCATTTAAAGAACACTTTGATAATATTTATAAAATATATGTTTTAAAAATATTTAAACAAAATTCAAAAAACTAAATCGAAGTGACAAAAATACAACGAATCAAAAGAGAAATTTGGCGTCAACTGATATTTTGACCAATGTTGCTATGTTAAAAATTTTACCCATTTATTTTAAAAGTGTTGGAAAGATGAGCACGTTGCCTTCCACAGACTTTAAAGAGTATTTTCTTAAGAAAATTTTTGCATGCTCTAAAAAAATAACATATAATTATTATCAAATTATGCTTTTGTGAATAAAAGTCTACTCACAACAAAAATTATAAAAATCAAAATTATTCACAATAGATGTAAGAATTCTAAACATTGTATAGCCTAGCCATATAGATTTATACAATGATTTTAAAATAGCAGAATTTGTTGACAAAATTTCAGCAAATTTTAATTAGAAAAAAGAATTTAATAGCTTAAATTTAAATTATATTATAATAAATGTATGAAAGACTGACAAGTTTCTGCTTTAAGGGTACTATTCTGAACAGTGCATTTGCTGTATGACCGCTCACAATAGACATGTGATTTGTGACTTGTGACTTAAACGAACGGAAATGTGTAACCTTCCTCTCAGTTGTTTAAATGTCAAATCAAGTGCAGTGTAATATTTCAGTTAAATAGTGGTTTAATTATTTATTTATGGTTATTCTAAAATAACATTTATTGTGCTAACTTTTGTGTTTAATATTCGTTGTACAACTACGACTATAGTGAAATTTCTTTTTAATACTTTCTTCAAACTACTGGTAGAGTATCATATGTTTCATTGTTCTTCGTATTGAAAGAGATATTAAATAGAATATTGTAAGTACATAGATTGATATAGTTCTAATTTTATGAATAATTTAATTTGCCTCTATTACGTGAAAATTCTCAAACATTTTCTGCACTGCTTAGCAATATAATATCCTTGGGGTTGATTGTCATATATCCACTCCATTACGATTTAAAGTGCCACCCTTGTACGGCGGAGGCTTTGGTCGTAAGTATGTGTTGGATGCACTGTCGGTTTGATAGTAACTATTGTTGGGACTAGACGAAAAGTAAATACGAATAATTAGTAAACGTTTTACAAAGATTTCATATATACGTGCGTTTGTGTGTATTTTAACAACTAACCTATGTGACCGCATACTAATATTATCCAATAAGCAATTGGGATCCTTCAAGCTTTTTAAAGTTGTGACTGGCTGATCTGTGTTGTTATCTGAACATTGCACCATTTGCACAGTTGAGGTTGCAGGCTGATATGCTGATGACGTTTCACTAAGTGGTACATAAATTATTGTACAATAAATTTTAGCAATTTAAGAGTATGGAAATAACGTCGCTGCATGCAATTAACAAATAGTTCCATTCTGATGGCATTTATATTCAATAATTAAATGCTGGATCTTTATAATGGATCTGCGAAGCGAATGTATATATATTATGCATACCTACATACGTTATATACTTATGGGGGTATATTTACATTTGCATCCATAAAAGTGCATAAATTTACAACTAAAAAACCAAATTTAAATAATTATTTACAAAATAAAATTCACCTTTCCACTTCGTCGGAGTCATAAACATTTTCCTTTTCGCATGACTCTTCACAAATATGAAAAATATTCTCAAAGAAAAACTCAGAGTTTCGATCATCTCTATAAAAAATGTAAACAAAATAAAAAATAAAAAATATATACATAGTTACATATTTACATATGTACAAACAATGAACTACAAAAATTGACTAGTACAACAAATAGCCACTTAAGATTTTTTTGATAACTTAACAAAGCATATATAATACTTGTATATATTTTTCTAATTGAAAATATATACTAATCATTGAAATTTATTTGTTTAGTGCGAATATTGGTTTATCTTTTCATTACACAATAAATTTACTAATTTATACAAAATCTTAATATAACAGTATCAAAAACTTTAAAGCATTCGTAATAAATAATAATTAATTAATATTTCATACATTTTGCAATACTCACAATTTTTCATGTTGGAAGCAAAGTGCCGCTGACAATATACCCAAAAGTATGGCGAAAATCATACTAGGAATCGCAAAAGCGAAAGCAAACTCATCTATATAATTGCGATCTGGCACATCCTCACGTGCAACGCCCAACCAACGGTCATTACGTTTGAAATTGTCATGATGACTTTTGTGCCCGTAATTGTGAAAAAGTATTTCCGGTGATATATCAGCGCCTACTGTCTTAAAGGCACACCAATCCAATTTGAAACCGGCATTCTCGAATACCTTTTGCACAGATGTGCGTTTATAGGTGCAAGTGCTCAGCTTATAAAGTGGTCGTACCTCCTCTTGCAATTCTTTGATGCGTGGAGAAAATTGGGCAGAGCTGCCAAGATGTACAAAAACACTGGAATATGGAATTTAATTTAATTTGAAATTATAATAATAATATTATAACAACAATATATTAATCACCCCTCGCGTTGCTGTGGTCGCAATGGTAAACGCCCACCCATATTCACCGCCGATTCCATGAAAACTATACACAAATCGTTTTCACTTTCTGGCCACAAATCTTTTCGGAATATATTTCGCAAATTCTCAACACGTCCCGGATCCATCAGATGCACCCAATTTAAATTGTCAATTTTCATTTGTATTATATTTAGCGATGGCAATTTTTGTGCCACAAATATAGATAACATAACCGCGCGCGTCTCATAATTTTGCTTATTCAATGCCACAATATCCAAGTGCACAGTTTTATCTGCCAAACGGTCAGTTGGTGTGCCATAAAGAAAACCTGCATGATATTCATGACTATATTTGTAGCGCAGCCACGATGGTAAATCTGCGTAGCCCTTCAATGAGACCCGATAACGAAATTGTTCGCTGATAACCTGATGCGTCCAATTGAAGAGCAAAGGTTCAATTTTATAGGAGAATAATTCACCCACAGCTGCCTGTTCCATGCCAGCGGTTGTGTGGCAACAAGCCAACAATAGCATTAGCACAACTATGGGCGTATATAAAAATAAATTTTCTGTCAGCATGTTGAACCTCAATGGCTGTAATAGTAAAAAATTGATTTTTCAAAGTTTCTGTTCAGAACATTTCAAACTATTGCTGTCGCAATATTCTAATTTTTCTAGATTTCGTTAAAACTTGGTTAAAATGTATTGTAAAGCAAATTCACTTAACAATAGCTGCTAGCTATCAATAATTTTTTGCAACAATTTTTCCACTCAGCAGCCAAATAATGAAGATGAAGGCGAAAAGTTCACAATGAAAATATTGAAAATTCCATTAGTTGTGTATATGCCAAGAATGCTGAATGCTTGTGTATACACTGGATCAGCAAATCAGTGGATGTCTGGGGGTGGTCAACACAACTTATTGTGTGCATACGCATACAAGTATAAACACTGCTGAGAGAGCATGTTTACTCTCTGTTTATTAGTGATTGTTTGGGAAATTTTTCCGCTTTGCTTTTCCCACCTGTTGCATGTCGTTCTCCGCAAATCTGTTTAACTGTTTATTCAAAGTGAGGTTAATATAATATAAAAAATGTAAATGGATAAGAATTAAATTTGGCTGGTGCAAATTTTTTGTAAAGCAAGTGATAGCCGTTTTTTCATATTGAGTTAATTTTGTTGCAAATCCATATTCCAAAAGATTTCAATCGCGTTTAATATACTATTTACTTTGGTATAATTTGATTGATCTTTAACATGCTTTTGACACAACTTTTTTTATTATAATAAAAAGTTGTACTAAAAAAAGTATTATTAACTACAGAATTAGCTCAAATCAGCTATTTTTTCTATGAAGTAACTTTTACACCATCATATTTTATTCATATTCATTTAGAAAATTAACTTTTAAACAAATTACTCAGTTCTAACTGAATTGTAAACATATTTAAACAAGTGTATATGAACATTACAAGTATTTGCTCTTATTCATATTTTGGTAGTGTTCAAAATTAAGCAATTTCAATTGATACCGAAGTAAAAGCTCAGCGTTAGACTTACACAAAAAAAAACAGGCAATTGAGCATCGCCATTTTCGCGCTATCGTTTTTCAATAGTCACACAAACGGTCACATTCGTTCAACTTGAGCGAACGTTAAATTTCAATCGAGCGCGACATAAGTTATCTTACTTGCTATCTAGTGTTAGACGTGCGGCTAGAGCAAAGCGACTCACCTGCTGGTCTAGTGATTACAGAAAAGTGCATCATATTGGTTTTCGGAAAATTAAAATTTAATAAATCTTTTAAAAAAAATTTAAACAAACTAACAAAATTCATATTTCAATTTTTGTTTTGATTTTGGCATTTTTAAATGTTTAGAAATCAATAACAACTACTAAGTGTCAATATAAATTAATAACAACTACTAAGTGTCATGATAATAATAGTTAAGCCAAAATTTTTATTTCGTTGAGTTTAACATTTTTTTTATTTTGCTTGCTTTGAAAGTAATAAAATGATAAGTTAGATGTTACACATAAATTTCAACAATCAGTGGCACTACATTCTTTCCAGTTAGACTAATTGACGACAATGTTAAGTGTCAATTAATTTTCACCTCGCGCGCATAGTAAATATTTAAATCATTGAAATTACGTCATTTTTTATTTTCAAACTGAAAACAAGAACAGCGCACAACTACATACAAACAGTTAAATTAAGTATGTAGAACAAAAAATGTTTATTTTGTCAAATCGTTAACAACCAAAATTTATTCGTTTGTATAAATATTAGTACTCGCATTTGTGTACCTGCATATTCCGCAAGTGGTCATTAAAATATAAAACTCGTTTGACCGCATATTTTTGTACATGTGCCTAACTGCCATCACGCCAACTTACGCCAAAACAACAGCTGATGTGCAATAATATTTGATTTGTTTATTTATCAATTTTTTGTGATAAAGAAATGAAAAGTATTTTCCCGTAAAAAGTATTCTAAAATGCAAATATTTTAAAAAGTGCTTTCATAAAAGTGTAAAAAAATAGTGCTATATAATATAAAAACATCAATATGGGCAATAAATTATCGAATTGTGCCTTTTATGAGCATTTTCAACATGGCAGCTGGAGTCCCGCGCAACGCGGCAAAGAACCGGCGGCGTCAGTGCGTATGATGAACGTGAATGTCAATGCAGGTGTCATCTCAAAATTGACATACGACAAAATCGGTAAGTGGAATTCAACTTTATAGTAATATTGTTTATATATACAAAATTGTTTATTTAGTTTATTTTTAAAATTATAATGATTAAACCAAGGACGATAATTTTTGAAACAAAACAAAATAATAATAGAATAAACCGCAATAGAAAAGCTAGAGCATATAAAAATTAAAAGAAAAAATTATTTATAGGCGATCTTAAGTCGAGTAGGGATAGGGAGGAGTGTGGTTGAGTTTTTAAAGGGTAAAAACAGTTTATCTCGTTCCTGTAAAACTACAAGTACAATGAAAAAAGACTTGACTTGACTTTTTTCACATACTTAATCTCAAAATTTATGTGAAAAATTCAAATAACCATCTTTTATTTTTTTTTTTATTTTTAGCTTTTACAAAAAACATTTCCTTTCACGAAGTTTGGTGTAAACTAATCGTTTTCTGTCGCAAATACACTGTAACTTTTTCGATTTAAAATATTTATTTTTCACATTATTTTAACATAACATCGGAAAATCACCCTAACTTTCAATCGAAAATTCTCCGGTCAACATTACTTTTTGTTTTTAAAATAAAAACATTTTCTTCTTGAAATTGCTGTTTTTTGATGGTATAAAAAATAAATACATTACTAAGCAAATTTTCTCAAAAAATGTAAAAAAGTCCTCACTAAATTTAAATCTGTTTTTTATTTCATATACCTGTTAATGTAGTAACTGCTGTAAACGAGGCATCCCGAAATTGAATTTTTTTACTACGATTTTTGGGTTTACAAAATAAATAAAAAATTATTTAAATTTTATTCCAATTGTGTTTTTAATGCATTTGTTGTAACCTTGGTTCTTAGCCTATACGCGTTTGTTACCATTCCGCCTGTCTGCCGCTGTGTTAGAAAAATACAGTAAAACAAAAAAAAAAAATTCTGATTCAATATTGAAACATGTATATGCATGGTTTTGAGCATATTCTTTTGCATAATTACATACATACATATAATGCTATTTTAAATTTACCTGCTGCCGTTGATTATTTTTTTGGTAAACCCCGCAATTTGGGCTAACGACGTAAGATTTCAAACTAGAAGGCAACTTTAATACTCTTGCAATATGTTGCCACAGCGTATAATAGTTTTATTCACCTAACGGTTGTTTGTATCACCTAAAACTAGTCGTGAGAGATATTGAGTTATATTTGTATATTAAAAATATCAGGATGAAGAGCCGAGTTGAAAGTTGGTCTGTCCGCCCATCTGTCGATCTGCCTGTCCGAGTGTCAAACTCTGTGAAAATGTATAAAATCAGATAATAATCACATCCACTCTCTATATAACGGTTATGTTGAACTCACTGCATAAATAAGCCACAAGCATTAAATTTCACATCCAGGTCAGAAATCGGATGAAAATCACGCCTAATTCGCATATAACAAACTTTAAACTTCCAGCAAATTCTTTCTTTTTACAGTATACCAATCAAACATCAATAAAGTTATCAGAATAAAGCTTTGCACAAATAGTGCTCCCAAGATATTTTATCTTTCGTCCAAAAATTGTCGAAATCGCACTAAAACTTGTGCCAAAACTAAGTAAAAGCAGGTCAATACTTCCCTTAGCCCCCATATACCTAACATAAGTATTTTCGAACCTACGGTTGACTCCATTCACTTTATACCGCATCTATCGGTCAATATATAAGAAATCTTAATGCAATTCAGAAATAATCCCTTTCTAATAACAGTGTATCCTCTTTCCTTTAAAGAATGAAATCACGACGATACTTTCCTTAATTGCTATAAAATTTTGCCAAAGCCTGAAGAAGTTCCTCCGCCTTTATTCTGCAAGAGTATCAAATGTTCGGTTACACCCGAACTTAGCGCTTTCTTACTTGTTTTGTTTTCCTTGCTCTTAAGTAAAAAAAAAAAATATTGTTTGCCTTGCTCACATTTCATTGTTTGTTAGTTTTTGCAGCACTCTATCTATTTCCTTAAAGACCAGTTGTTGCAAGCTTACAATTATTAAATTAAATACATACACGTATGTAAATGTGTCTAAAGGCAAGCTAAACTTTACAAGCACCCCATAAACTATCGCCATATAAATCAGATCAACTTATACTCCCCCACAAAAAAAACACATGGTTTCATATGGAATTTACAATTTTGCATGATATAATTATGAATTACTAACGCCGGCAGTCGCCAATGAATATACACGAATTTTTGCTCTCAGCGCGAATTTTATGGTTGCAGGCTTTGTTTTTTACCACCTCCGGAGCACTGCAACAGGAAAGGTGACAATTGCTTGGCACGTTTGATTGAAACCTTTCATGGTTATTTGTGCTCCATCATTATTATTATTATTATAAATACCCATTACTATTTCACTGTTTCAGGCTATAAATTTAAATGCAACACACGCCTCTCACACCGCTGATGTGTATCAATGACTGTTTGTATATACACATGTAATTTTTGTTTTTATTTCCATAATTTAACTATTGACTCAGCTCAAAAGTTTTGGCACGTCAAATTTGTCATTGTTGTCATTGAAATAAAATTTATGCGGATACAAGAGGATTTACTCATATGAGTACATACATATGTATATGGGTAGTTATGTACATTTGATACTTGTGCGTTGTGGAATATCCCGCGGCGAATCGTGTGCAGCTACGAAATGTATTTCATATGTTACTAATTGTTTACTCATCAGCAATTCGTTGAAGAAGGCAAATGAAAGAAAAAATATCTAATTATAAAATAATTCCAACAGCTGTGGCTGGAATGGCGGCGGTCATAATAAATGAGGTGTCAAAAAATTCCAATCTACAATTTTAGCATAGCCAAGTGCAACACAGGCTGCCTTTTAAATTAAAATCATACAAAAGAATAACTTAACCACTAAGCTTGTAAAAATTGCTGAAATACTTTATACCATTAACATTAGCGGTGATTAAAAATTCAAAAATTTAAAATAAAGGTAAAAAAGTACAAAATAGATTTATCCATTTATTTCCAAATAAGACACTTGCCTTATTATTATTAAAATAAAATTACAATATATTGGCATTTTAATATCACGAAATGTTAAATAATTATAATATTTTGTTTACACTCAAGAATTTATCACGCTCGCCATTTGGTTACTGCCAGTGTAAATTCGCTTTATTGCATTTGACTTCCAATAAGCAATTCGGGCGTTTGTTTAAAGTCATACAACTATTTTTGTATAATGTATGCCAATACATACATACATATATTATATTTACATGTTGCATTACAAAATGCGATTAGTTTCGGTGCAGAAATATAATTATAAATTAATTTTCATATATGTATAATCTGAAAATTTGCGTTAATCACGAAATCCACAAACTCTTTGAATCACAATTTTATGAAAAGAATGCTAGTTATTAAACTGATGATATTTTAAAAAAAACTCGGCAAAATTTTTAGCAACTATTATATTAAAACTGACTCAACGAGTTATATCCACTGACAAGTCAGAAAAACGAGTTTTTTTTTTTGGTGATTTTTTTTGTTTTGGAAAGGCATTAATAATCGGCCGATCTCTAGGAGAACTTCCGAAAAAATGTGTTTGGCGGTGAGAAAGCTTTTCTGCTCAAAATTATCTCAAATCCAAAACACAAAAAATGCTGTTAATACTTTAGGTGAATACAGTTAATGATCGAAGTATTCGAAAAATTTTGATTTTTGACAAAAAGGCGGCTTCCTAAAACCAAACTTAATTTTTTGTAAAAATATTACACTTCAAAGTGGCATAAAAAATCGAAATTAATATCAAGAATCTCATTCCTTCGATTATTAGCGACCAAATATATCTAAGGAATTCGTGTAATTCAATGAAGAAATTTTACTCAACGATTCTGAAAACAGCGTTTCGAAAAAAACGCGTTTAAAGTTTATTGAACCGACACGAACACTAAGCTAAAAATTTCCTACAAATATCTACGAAGCTATTTGCCATATCAACTGCACATTTTCAGAGATAATTCTAAAATATATGTACATTCGATATATATTCAAAATAAAAAATAGATTTTATAAAATTCACAAGTGAATATAACCCTTAAATACTTTATTGCGTTCCAATTCAAAAAACTTTCTTATTATCAAATATTAGTAGTCATCGGAAAAATATGAAAAATGTATCTCCGTGATGCAACAAAATAGTGGTGTTTCACAATTTTTTTTTTAAATGTGAGCCAAAATATAAATTGATAACAAATTTTTAACCCTTTTCACGAAATTTTCAAACCCTATGAAATCTTTGTAAATAGTGGAATAATAGCTGTCACATTAAATGTCAAAGTAAATTACGATATAAAATTATATTATTATAAAATACATTTAAAATAATTAAATCTTAATTCCAAAACTCATAAATCGGCGATGAGGCACGGTTCTATGTAACTTAACGGCTACATACATATGTATGTAAATAAGGGAATTTGCCGTAATAGCAGTGTTAAAAATTCCTCAAGACATTGTCCAGAATACCTTGTAATCGGGTGTGGTTTATATTCCGAAGCTATTATTGATAATTTACTTTCACAAGCGGACGTTGAAAATACACCTTTTTGGAACGAACTTTTAGCGACAGAATCATAGCGAAAAATAGGTCCGACTTTTAGCCATCTATTTGAATCCGTGCGAATACTTTTTGTAAGGGTACATGAAGGCATTGATCTATTCTGATAAACTAGCTATGCGAATGTAATTCATAAAATTTATTCAAGAAGTAGAAGGAATATATAGTATGCTAAAAAATACCCTAGCCGCGGTTAGGTTAATATGTTAAGCCTTAGGTGACCATATTTTTCCCCACCAAATCCGGGACAATTTTTTTAGGCATCGATTTTTCCCATATTATAATTTACTGAAAATCGCGACATATAATACATAGGTGAGAGGGCAACACAATTTTATTAAATTTTTTTTTAACTTCTAAGCCCGGGACGGCCGGGAAGCTTAACTCGGAATCCGAACTGTTCTGGGCAAACCGGGACGAATGGTCAGCTAAGTTAAGCCAAAGGGCTTCGTCTTAAAGCTCACAGCCTGCACTTTTTAATTTCGTTGCATACTCGTATGAGCTAAAAATTGTTACTTAAATATTATCTTCATAATAAGAAAATAATACAAAATACATAAATTAGGTGTTTTCATCAACTACTACAAAATTTATTTATAGGTCGATTTATTTCAAGCGACAAACATCTCATTAAATTACGTAATGTTATATAGAAAAATCTAAATAAAAGAGAAGAAACAAATGATATTAATCATTCTTGGTTCGTAGTTTTTTACACCAACGCCACCCACTTTCATTGAAACAGTAAACATGACAATGTTGTACAAAGTGCACAGCCAAAACCGCAAGATAATTACGCATACAACGGATATAGTACGAGCACGAACGAATGAATGAATACACGTTCGGAAATCACTTTTACTCTCATTCAATGTATGCGTATTTAACCCAAATACAAGAAGCGAAGATCACAAATCATTGCTAACCGTTAAGACAGTTTTCCAAGCATGATTCCCTTTAATAAGAGTAGTTGATGATGTCATAACGGTCTACGCAAATTTACGCGTTCTTAAGAGTAATCTTAAAGTATGTAGTAGCATATACAACTGTATTGGTAACACTTTACTACCTTTTGAATATACTCATATGCATGTATGTATGTATGTGTATATGAGTTGCCGTGAAACACGTTTGTTCTGCGTCCAAACAAATATTTAATACCAACAAGGTTCTGTCTTTTAAATACCAAGTGAACGTATACATTTTAAAAGACATATAATAACATTTGACATATGTACATATGTAAGTATGTATATGTATGTGGATATAGCATAATTCTTGATTCATGTGGGAGCGTCTGCTTCAATCTGCGCTGATCGCTGCTTTGATGATCAATGAGTAGTAACGTTAGCGCCATGCTGCTGAACGATTACGTTTGTTGTTTAGTTTATCAATGCTTGCCAACGGGCTAACAAGTCGACTTTGAAGCTCGAGACGATCGTCAAATATTTGTATTTAAGTGATATATACAAGCGGAATTTCGCGTTACGGTAGCATTTTATTGCAGGCAATAAATAACCCGTATACTCAAAATACTATAACTGTGATTGTAAAAAATTTACGAATTTAAAATTGAAAATATAAAAACAAATTGTGATACATTTAAACTGTAAATAGTCAAAAATGAGCAATTGGTATGCAAATATTGTGCCGGGCTGGGTAAATCGCTGGATAAGTCCACCGCGTCCAGTAAATCCATATCGCGCCATACGTCCGGCAAATGAAAGTAATTAAAAGCATTTTTTTTTAATTTTAATAAAATTCATATAAATACAAATACTTCTAAGTACTTGAGTTTATTACGTGCAGTTCTTTTGTTTGTCCAACAATAATTTTTCATTGCTAGTACTAAATAGCTGATGACTTCATACAGTCACTTGGTTGCTTTCATTGATTTAGCAGATTTACTTGTTTTTTTTTTTTCAATATAAAAAAATATTTTTTTTATCATACTTCTGCGTGTTTTCTATGTTTTTTTTATTATTTTTGGGTATATGTTCTCTATTTTTGGTAAACTGCTAATGCTTCCGCACTATCTACTCAGTTTCAATGCTCTCAAGTGGTGTGCGTGTGTGTTTTTTTTTTTTCGTAAACTCTCTTTGTCTCTTACATAAGTAAAAGCTAATTAAATGTGTGGAAGTGTTTGGTTTGAAACAACATAAATAAGGCTTTCGCGTGGCAATAATTTATATAGTGTGTGTGGATTTGTTTGACAACAATATTCGCAATTCGTGCTAATCGCGTTTTAGTTAAAACAAAAATTTTATTTAAGTTGAGAACAATCTCAGTGCCATAAATCGGTCTTCAACACTTTTCTTTAAGCAATTGCAATCCCATCATTGCCCTCACATTTTATTTATTCATATTAAGCAGCAATGCCATTAGGCTATACGTATTATTCATTGTCTACAAAACAAAAACATTTTTTTTTTTTGTAAACTTTGGAAATGATCAACTCTTATAATCACATTAATCGTTACCTTCACAAAAACCGGCAATCCAATTTCGAAAAAATTCCCTGCCCGCACTTTGACCGGCACCTGCAGCATTTCCATATAAATTATCAAATATTTACGCATTTTTGGTGAACACTGTATCCAATCGGCATTGTAAATAGCATTGTTGAGAGCACCAGAACTCAATATAATTTCGTTACCACAATAGCAGGGTACGAAAATTTGTAAGGTCATAACAATCACCGCCAAAATTAATGTGCAAAATTGTGAGGGGTTCTCGGAAATGCTGACCTGTAGTAGAGAGTTCGTCATAAAATGTGTAAACAAGTATAAATATAAAGTAAGGACATAGCTTAGAATATATACGGATATACCATCTGAACAAATTTGACCTGTACTGACAAAAAAGAATATTTTCACGTATTTTAATACAAATACTCATATTTATTATCAGCTTCAAAATATATAGGCTCCTTTTGAGTCAATACAATCCAATCTAATTTTCCATACACTTGTTATAAGCCTCGACTCGGATGGCCTTCAGCGAATTTTGGTGTTTACGGTTTCGGCTCATTTTTATTATTCGCTGGAATCTTTTAAAAATTTCGACGTCATATTCATAAACCCACGTCACGCCATCAGTTAGAATGCGTTTGATAAATATAGTGTCCTCAGCTCAGTGTTTAAGCAGGTCCTTTCCAAACTCTACTCGACGTGAAAAGATTAAGGGTTTTTGGTAGTAGTCTACCCAAAACATTAACCAAAATGTGTTGAGTTGATTCATAACAGATGTCTGCTATTTGCTATCTCTGTGATGCCAACACGACGATTTTCAAGCACTGTTTCTTTAACATTTTCGATGTTATCGTCATTCACCGAGGTGGAAGGACGACTCGCATGAGGCAAGCTTCAATAATTTCACGACCTTCACTAAATGCTTTGTGCCACTCAAATACCCATGTTCATGATGAAGTAGACTGCCAAAGCACCTCCGCGAAATTTTCAACTATTTCGCAACCGTGATTCCATTTGAAAAATTTTTCAACCAAACTTGTTATTATTTTTTTCATGGTAAAAATTGCCAGAGAAACTTTTCGCGTCGTAAACAAACAGCTATCAAACACTGATTGATTTGGAAATCAAACTTTACACGAAAATAAAAAAAGATTTTAACAATCTAACAAAAAAATTTGATCAATTTGATTTGTTTGTTTAAATGGATGAGACCGAGTCAAATTTGATCGAATGGTATTTTGTGCAGTTTTACCAAAGTAAACAAAACTGACTTTGTTATTTCAGAGTAAAATTTTCAAACTATTTTTAGGTTAGTAGAAATAATTTTCAATATTTTTATACTCAGAATTTTTGTACCCAATAAGAAATATCGGAGACTTAAAACGTATACATGATATGTATGATCAACGTGACGAGTTGAATCGATTCAGACAAATCCTATTCTGTCTGTCCGTCAGTATATACGCAAACTCATCTCTCAGCTTTTGTGATTTCGTTCTGAAACTTTGCACACGTTCTTTTATCCCGAAGAAGCTGCTCATTTATTGGAATCGTCAATATCGGACTACTATGTCATACAAACTGATCGGTTAAAATCAAGATACTGATCTTAATAAAACATATTTTTTTCTTATTAAGGACTTATTTGTTTTAAATTAAAATTGTTATGATAATTTACCTGCTGCAATCGGTAGGCACTAAAACAGAGTACAAATGAGGAGCACATTATTTGTATAAGAATTGGAAAGGAAACAAATGTTTCGCAGTCCTCTGAAAGCCTTGAAAGCGAAAGAAATTGCTTAAAAATTGTAACTGACTCACGATTTTTTAATAATTTATATCTCTTACTTCTTTGTTATGCCATGTAATTTGGTTATGCTGACAAATTCATCCAAGAATCGCACCCCATTGAACCCGCTTAAGCGACCTGACTGTCCGTTCCACTTTCCCATTTCCTGCAAGCGACCTCCAATCATTTGATAACACAACGACAGATGTAAAAGCATATAGCACTGGATCATATCGAGTCCACAATTGGAAAAACATGTCACCGGCATGGCCACCAACTCATAAAAGTATGCATACCAATAGCCGCGCTCATTACGCCACTCGAATGGCGGCGCATAAGGAAACGGCAATTCGTATGCCGCCGAAAAGAGTACACCAACAAAGGCGCTCGTCATGAGCGTAATGCTCATTGCAAAATACATAAAAGCAATGAAACGATAATATTTGTGTACCGTGGACCAAAATGTGCGTTCCTCTTCCGAACGCAGTTTGTATACCGCATCATTGGCCAGTATGTGAAAGAAATGCACAAATATTTTCGAATTTATCCAAACATTGACGATCTTAGCCAACAATGCAAGCTCTGTTAGTGACATGTACATGATGTAGGAGAACTTTTCCAAGTCGGAAGCCTGCAATACGTCCACCCACATCATCACCGTGTACGGAAAGGTTAATGTGAAGTGTAAAATATAGGAATATGCGATGTAGTACGTTTGCCATGGCGCATCGAAACGCCAGAGTCCCATGTATTGTAACACTTTAATGATGCGTCGTGCGCCGTTAATGTTGTCAAACTCCATTTTGTTTTTCCCTAGCAGGATTGGCTGTTTTTTTGTTTTTTTATTTTTGATTGTGTTGTTGTTTTTGCCTCTGTTATAAGCACTATTTAGTTTATTTTGGGGCAGTTCTTGCGGTATTGCGAGAGTAGCTCTCTAACAACCAACTATGCTGATTGGTTCTCACTTTTTGTGTGTGACATATGCTTCGCGTGTCCTTTATATGTGATTTTTGGTGGGCCTAACGCACAAATCACGCTTTTAAGACAGTGAGAAGTACGGTTTCTTTACGCAGAAATTAATATTTTACTCAAGTTAATGAAACTTTTGTGCGTTTTTAAATAGTGCTAAGCTATTTTGTTTGGTTTAAGTACGTATAATTATTTAAAAAGCCTAGTAAAAAAAAACTTTGTCTAAAAAGTTTTTCATTTAATTAGCTTATAAAGGCTAATGACACGCCCTTTTAATTAAATATGTAATTTTTAATTGTTAGGTAACTTGCACAACGCGCAATCAAGTAATCGATTAGGCAGTACTTTTAACCCATTGAGTGTTTTCTCACACAGTATAATATTTTGATTAATATTAAAATAAATTTACAAATCGCTCATAAAGCTTTTTCAACAGTTTTTAAAGGATATAGCTCTTTCATTGATTCATGTTTGAATCATTGGTATTAGCTTATTGAAAAAATGCGTGAGGCAGATCAAGCTATATAAAACTAAAGATCTTTAAATGGTTAGGTAAACCTAGAGCCCTCTGAAAAGGCCTAGCTTTGACAATGTATTCAGCGAGTGAGAAAGAAGAAGTCGAGCTCGAGCTTTACTCTGTCAGACTTTATTAAACTTACCCTAAAATTTGAGGGTAAAAAAATTATATTGACATTTTTACACCTACATGTATTTTTAACTTTAAATACATTTTTCACAAAATGGCGGACTTGCTGAAAAATTTTCAACTTTTGAAGAAAAAATTAGCTGTAGATTTCTTTTGAAGCAGCAGTTACCATTCAAGTGGTTACATGCAATAGCCTTTGAGTAGAATTGCAGAGTACGATTTGCAAAACGCAGTTTCGAAAAAAAATCATTTCAAATTTTGTGTGTTAAGCTGACTATGCTTCGACGCTACAGGGAATTGTATAACGAAACAATTTTTTTCAGTATTCTATTAATTGAAAAGGGTTTTTTTGTTTGCTTTGTCACACAGTGCGTATGAGCGATTTTCTCTTGTCTCCAATTTACAAGAAAAATAGCAATTGAATTGTGTTTACAGCAATTAAAAGTTATTTTTCCTAATAGATTCGATTAACTGTCGATTTCATTGCTCGACATTTCAAGGCATCTTACGCCATAAATGCCAAATTTATTGAGTGAACCGATGCAGCAATGAACTTTAATTGAAATTGACAACATTTTCACCGTTTCTCATTGACATAGTTGTTTGGACTCTTTCATATTTACATATGAACGTATGTATGCATATGTTATATATGTGCATATAACAAATAAAATACCTAAATTCTTGTTTTAACAATCAATATAGCAGTAGTTATCAGCAGACAGTGAAGTTGGTGATCCTGAACCGATTTTATTTTACTAACTATAAGCTGACTTACAAGCCGATAATTTAACAATATTTTTAATTAAAAATGCTTGATAATTGCTTAAAAAATTCTGAAAAACTATTCTAGAATACAATTGTATTTGAAACTTTGTACCGTGTTATAAAAACTAGTTTTCAAAGCATTATTATTTGATCAAAATTGTGCATATGCATTTAAGCTAATAAATGCATGCAAACCCATGCACATAATATGTATATACCTATATATAGTGTATAACTTTTGTAAGTTTGTCTATAACAAATTTGCATGCGTTTCTGGGCAGGAGCGCCTACGTTAGCCACACTTTAAGTAATTGATTTATGAGATCATCATTTTGGCACAAAATAAACTAAATAAGTTTTACTTACATGCATTACACATGGACACATACATATACTCGTACATATGTTTACAAATTTAGAATATTCAAAATATTATTTAATACTCATGATATTTATTTTTATTATTTGCAATATTCTCACCCTTCACAGCTGTTTACTATACGCATACAAATATGTGATATGATGTATGTATATTATACACCTATTCGTAATTGTTTATTTGATTGTTGTTTTACAAGTATTATATTTTCATACATAGAGAATATTGAAAACATATTTAGAATATAAAATACAGGAGAACTCGCAAAACTTCAAAAAAAGAGGGAAAGAGAGAAATTTTATATCAACATCAGGTTTTAAACCATCATCATCACAATATCTGTAAATTATAGAAATTTTAACTTGTTTGAATTAATGAGACTCATAACAAAACAAATATTTGCAAATCATGGAATTAATTTAAACTTGTATTACAAGCAATATGTTCTTAACCTTATAGTCTGATAGGTAGCGGTATTAATTTACATATTCTACACTTCAAATTAACTGTTAGAAAAGCCGTAATAAGTTTTTTTTCGACTCTAAGCTGTTTTCGACTCACGCGACATGCTACTGTACCAGGCCACGGATCTACTGAGGAGAGCGTCCGGCGTAATTTTAATACAATTTTGTTAAAGCAGATATGGCTTCAACCTATAAGGGGTTAGGGGTAGTCAATGGCACGAAAATATGAGAATTGTTTTTGCTATTAAATCATGTTATTTTACAAAAGTAGTAATATATCATTTTTATACAATGTTTTGACCTGAAGTCACAAAAATTTAAAAAAAAAAAAAAAATTTTTAAATCCAAATTTTTGAAAAAAAAAATCCTTCCATCAGGCCCGAGCTTATTATGTATTCTAAAAGCTGTATCAATTTCATTAATTATTATTACTGAGCGGTTTTCGAGTTACAGTTGTCAGCAGTTCGAAAAACATAGTTTTGAGAAAAAGGCATTTAAAGTTTCTTGCAGCTGCCGCTAGCTACATACCTGCTCTCGAGCGCTTTGAAGTGCTCTTTGTTATTTGTCAAATAATCAAAAAGTAATTATCGGATCAACTCGAAATTTTCAGAGAATATTTTCAAGATATTACACTTAACAAAAATGTAAAAAAAGCAAATTGATTTTTTGAAAATTCTGTCTACCCTAATATAGGTTTTATATACGTATCTCATGAACTAATAAAGCTCACACAGCTTTAAAAATTAAAAGTAACAATGCATTTTATGATATTTTCCTTCATACTCACAAATTATAACTTAGCAGAGTTTTAAATTGGACAAAAGAAACCACGCTGACTTTTCATATAATCCTTTTTTGAATCCCAGCAGTTTTCTTTAATTTACAATTAATACCACAAAATTATAGAAAAGCTTTTCTAAAAATTGTAGAAATCGCTCCACATTTTCTTCTAGCTCCTAAGGGTGTCCGTCCGTCCATTCCAAAAATGAGTATTATCAGTACTGACCTATCTGTAGCTCCTCTTATATGGTAAATGCGAGATTATTTGATTTTTGATTAAACTAAAACTAGACCCCCCATCTACTTGGTTTTGGAGATTTAAATCTTGGCCATAAATACACTAAAATTTATTTAACTCAATAATTTAGTCTCTTTATTTGCTTGAACGGTTTTATTTGCCATAGAATTTGCATATTACCACAATTTTCAAGGTCAGAGTGAAGAAAAAAAGTGCAAAATATAAATTTCGAAAATCTATCTCACGTAATCTATATTTTTGCAGACGCCGCTGAAGCTGATGCAATACTCACCGTTCAGAGTGCTGATCTCTGTCTAACGGAAAACAATGACGAACACAAAACAGATCATTTTTTCGCCGCCAAAGAGGCGTTAATTGTGCGACGCGGTGATCCATTTCGATTGCGCATTCATTTCAATCGCTCATACAATCCCACACGTGATGCAATCAGCTTTATATTTACCGTAGCTGATGAAAATAAACCCAGTCCTGGACATGGTACGTTGGTGGGTCTAGTGCCACGTGATGGCATAGACAATCTGGGCGATCCACTGGAGTGGGCTGCTGGCATTGAGTCGCATGAGGACAAAGTACTAACGGTGCTTATTAAACCGGCCGTCACATGTCCGGTCACCGAATGGAAATTAGATATTGATACGAAATTACTTAGCGATGGCTCAAAAACCTTTTCCATACCCGTGCCAATTTACATACTCTTCAATCCATGGTGTCCGGATGATCAAGTCTATTTGCCGGATCATGATCAACGTAAGGAATATATTATGCACGATACGACGCTCATTTGGCGTGGCTCATATAATCGCATGCGACCTTCTGTATGGAAATTGGGACAATTCGAGCGACATGTATTGGAATGCTCAATAAAATTGATTGGTACCGTCGGACGCATACCAGCCGCCTATCGTGGTGATCCAGTGCGTGTAGCACGCGCGCTATCGGCCGCTGTCAATTCGGTGGATGATGATGGTGTTATACTTGGAAATTGGAGCGAAGATTTCTCTGGTGGTACTGCACCTACGAAATGGGTTGGTTCCACCGAGATTTTGCAACAATTCTATAAAACACAAAAACCGGTGAAATTTGGACAGTGTTGGAATTTCTCCGGTGTACTAACAACCATTGCGCGCACGCTGGGTATACCATCACGCATAGTCACATGCTATTCGGCGGCACACGATACGCAGGGTTCGCTAACGTTGGACATTTTCATTGATCAAAACAATAAGAAATTGGATGCGGAAACAACCGACTCCATATGGAATTATCACGTTTGGAATGAGGTTTGGATGCAACGTCCAGACTTAGGTATTGGCCCCTATGGCGCGTATGGCGGTTGGCAGGCAGTGGATGCCACGCCGCAAGAGCCCTCCGACAGTATGTATCGTGTTGGGCCGGCATCGGTGGTGGCAGTTAAAAATGGCGAAATTTTGCGACCATTCGATTGTGGCTTCGTTTATTCAGAAGTGAATGCCGACAAGGTGTACTGGCGTTATAACGGACCTTACCAACCAATTAAGTTATTGCGTAAGGACACACTGGCGATTGGGCATTTGATTAGCACAAAAGCGGTGCTCAAATGGGAACGCGAAGATATCACAGACACATACAAATATGAAGAGAAGACTGATGAGGAACGCAACATCATGTTGAAGGCATTGAAGCAATCGGGTCACGCATTTAGTCGTTATTACTTAAACGACAGTTTCAACGATGTCGAATTCGATATGTCGCTAAAGGATGACATAAAAATCGGCGAGAATTTTACGGTTATTGTTAAAATTACCAATAAGTCCAAAGATAACATACACGTGGCGAGCGGTCAGCTAAACTGCGATGCCGTGTTGTACACGGGCACCAATGCGGAAGAAGTGAAATCCATGCCATTCGAGCTCGAATTGAAGCCAGAAATGTCTGAATTCGTGCGCATGGAAGTGCAATTCGATGAATACTTTAAAAAATTGACATCACAAGTGAGTATAACGTGTCTTAAATGTACAGTATTCATTAAAGTTATACGAAACAATTTTCAATACTGGTATGTATGTGATTAATACTAGTTTTTGAACTTGAATTTCAGTTATAATTGTAAATACGCAAATTTTTAATTTTCAGGCTGCTTTTAATATATCCTGTGCTGCTAAGGTAAAGGGCACAGATTACGAATACTACGCACAGGATGATTTCCGCGTACGCAAACCGGATATTAAATTCACATTCCAAGGTAAAATCGTATCACAGCTACCCGTCGATGTGATCGTACGCTTAACAAATCCGCTTCCGATACCTCTTAAGAAGGGTATGTTCTACATTGAGGGACCTGGTATTGAGAAAGCGCTGCGGTTTAAGGTACGAAAAAAGTATATGGAGTGCTATGGTCTAGGTTCCACTCTATCAACTACGAACACGGTCCGATAAGTAATTAGTCTCTATCCACTACCTGAAAAAGGGTAAAACGGCTATAGGGTTCTACTACGACGAATTATTAGGCTGACATAACTCCTCCACCATCGCCACTTCCAAATTGGTTAAATTGGAATACGAACTGAGATCCTATTCACCGGTTTCCCCCATGCGACTTCACACTTAAAAAACCCTATCGCCCAAAAGAAAATTTACTCGAAAGAGGAGATTATCGCCGCCAGGAGGCGTACTTTACAGTCCTTCCGAAAACGTAATTTTCAGACGGGTTATAGAAGTTCAAACATCGCAGGGTAGAGTCTAACATAACTAGCTAAAAAACAGAGCAACAAATCACACTCTTTCCAATATGTCTTTTTCTTTTGTAGGCTAAGTACTTATCGGACCGACTTATCGTAAATTGTGTTTATGTATATAAATTTAGAATCATTTTTATTTTTTCAATTTTAGATAGCAGAGATCCCCGTGGGTGGTACAGCTGCTTCCACTTTCAAATATGTCCCACCATATGCAGGACGCGGCACCTTGTTGGCAAAATTCAATTGTAAGGAACTAGATGATGTTGACGGTTATACGCATTACGAAATTGAGCCGAGGCCCGAAGATATTATCAGCAACGGCACACATCGATCGCATAATATTATACGACGCAGAACCGATGTCATAGCGTAAGAAGCAATACCGTTTGAGTAAAAAAAATCTCAACAAAAAATTATTAATACATACATATGTATGTATGTACATACATAATGCTTACGCATATATGTTATTATGTGAATGCGTAGATGGCAATAAGAAGAAGGCGGATATTTTTTGCATTAGAATTACCAATAAACTATTTTTAACTAAATTTTTACTGTGCTTATAATAATCAGGGGGAGTTGGGGGTGAGGCAGTGCATCAAATTTGAAATTAGCCTTTTTAATACGAAAATAATTGTTTTTGATGCTAATTTGCTTCCATTATTTATTTGTTTATTTTTTTTTTTTTTTTTATTAATTTATTCAGTTTTATATACTGCATGACTTACGTGCTTAAACAACTTTATAAAAATTTTATATTTTTTTACCTTTTTCAATTTTTTTTAACCTTTAACCATCCATGCCAAGTGCAAAATTTGGCTTAGCGGCCGTTTTTACTGAATATATACCGCGCGCATTTCCAAAAACCGGGTCGCCCATTAGAATTCGTTGACCAGTACAGTTCATAGCATTAGCATCCACTATGGAATTGCAGGCGGCAGCTAAGAAACCTTTTTTGCTATTAATGGACTCTGCGAAATATTCACAAGAGCGACCGTGACTGCAGCCAGCTGATACAACAAAAAACAATTTGTATTTAAATATATTTGCATAACAGTATAACCAATTATATAATAGTATATACAACAGCTTTACTGCAAAAATTCTTCAAGGGGGTATTCTAGTCTAGAAATAAAAAGAAATCGATTTTTTTATATATTCAAAATTTAACTATTCAAGAATTTGTCTACAAGAGGATTTTCCAAATTATTTTCGGAGATATATGGAGGTATTTTGCAGCTCGACATCCAAGCTGGTTCGGTCGGAAATTTTAAATTTTCTCGAAACTGTCTTTTTCAAAACGATACCCACCGATTTTTCAGGTTCTACTGGACCGATTTATCTGAAATTTAAAGAGTTTTCTTTATAGACTTGTCGATGTCTGGAGCTAGCCATATCCCGAAATTTCAATATTTAGTATTTTTAAAAAAGTCGAAAAAGTGGTCCAAAAACAGTCGCCATTTCGTGAAAAAAAGTTCAAACCTTTCCATTAGATTACAGATTTTTTTTGTTTTTGATTTCAGACTGCTGGGAGGGGAGTATGGTCACGCGTAAATTTTGTGGGACCCCCACTTTATTAGCTGTTGATTTTTGAAATTTTTAACCCCTTTTATGTTTTGATTTTTTGTCTGTATTCTTGTAATGTTAATAAATAACTAATAGAAAAACGAATAGTACAATATAATAAATGCCCTTTTTTACAACACTCCAAAAGTTACCTGAAATTCATACCTCAGAATACCCCCTTGAAAAAACTGTTTGTACTGTTGTAAAAACTAACAATCCTCTTTTGAAAATTTCCGGCAAAAAGACTCACTTAATATCTGCATCGGCTCCTTGCAGCCCGGTTGAAAAGCGCCGCCACCATTTGGATAAAAATCAACCGTACCAATTGGCTGCTTGAAACCCAAAATACCCGCACAGGTGTGTATGACATCTACAAAGTCAGCGTCGGTGGCATCCAGATGATTCTCTGGTCCAGTATTACCCTCAAAAGCGGGACGCGCAGGATCCAAACCTAATAAATTGTAATAAAAAATATGTATTGACTACATAAATAAAAAATATAGTTTGAATATCGGCAAAACTTGCCCGTAATGCGCCCGACTCGGTACTTAGTGTACGACCCCGCATAGCCCATAATATGCGCACCCAAGCTATGTCCTATCAAATGAATATCTTTGGGTTCGGCACCTTTTTCCTCCACCAGCAAATCAATTAATCTCGCAACTGCCCTACCCACTTGCACGGTATAACGTGCAGGCTCAAGGTAATAAATATTATTCGCCTGGTCACTCCAATTTATGGCGAATACATTTACATTGCCGCGATCAACGTACGCATTGCGTATAGCTTGTATGGAGTTACTGCGTGAACTTGATTTCCAGCCATGTACCAGAATCTTTGTGTTCATGTCGGCTTTGAATCTATCGGCTAGCTCCTCCCATGTCTCTCGTTTGTGTCGTTGTTGACTTTGACGTGTAGTAATTGGACTTTCACGCAGCGAAAATGCAGATGTCACGGGTATATCGGGGTTTGTACTGATGTATCGTAATGCTTAATGTTTTTAAAAAATTTGTTTTTTAATTAAAATACCTGCCGTAATACTCAAGCTGTATGAACTCAGAAACTTCGCTGCGATCGTGTTCGGCTGGTGGTTCAACTAGGTATGCCACCTCCATTTCCCCCTCGCCATTGGGCATATACATCCAGGTTTTATTGTAGTCCTCATCCTTGAGCTCCACTTGAGCGAATGCAGTAACTAAATCATTTATTTAATAATTAATCATTTATTTATTTAATTTTTTTTTTAACTAAATACTTTTATACTTAGTACTATGGTGCTTACCATAAAAGGTTAAGTATATAAAGCTTATTAGAAATCGAGTCATATCTTTTAAACTAAAGAAAAGCAAATAGAACCACCTAAAGTGGCCTTTAACTGACTTGCACTTGGCACAAACGCCGCTTTATATATATTTTGTAAAATGTAATTTCCGTTGCATTTTTTAAATTAACTTTTTTTAATGATTTTTGATACCAAACATCAATCAAATGTCAACCTAAGTTAGAAATAATGCAAAGTACAATTTCGGTTAAAACAAAAGGTGCATTAGCGAAATGTATTTATCACATAACACTGTGGGTGGGCAAGTGCGTGCTGAAGATAACGCTCTCTATACATATAGAGTGCATATGCCTCTTACGTATAAAACGCGTTTTATATTTTTTGCAACTATATTTAAGTTTTTTCGCATAGGTGAATGGGACCTTATGTCGCAAATCTCCTGCGATAACCTAAGAGTAGATCTTGCGGCTAAACTCATACTTATCCAACCCCGATTTCATAATAATAATTATTTGTCAATTAAAGGATCCTCGCATTTAACTAATTCAGCTATCACCCCTTTTCCAGTGGTCACTGAACAAAATCTAAGACTTTTTACTTTAAATCAAGCATCCAAAAGTTTTTACTTTAATTGGAGCATCCAAGGTTAATGAAGAAATTATCGCCGTAGATGTTAGCATTCGAGGTAATCGGAACTCCGATTGATGGTAAAAGGTGATTTGAGATATATGGTTAAGAGATCATTAAATAGAAGTGGATCAAAGACGTGACTGCCAAACGTGCTTTATGGAGTGGTAAGGTTTTTAATATTTTTTAATAATTATTTGATTTTTGTCTTAAATGAATATTTAAAAAAAAAATTGTGTTGAAGCGCTTAGAGCAAAATTGACGAAGTTACGAGTCTTTTTATTACCTGTCTTAGGAATATTTTTCATCAATGTTCAACATTTTAAAGCGTTTTCCCTACAACTCACGTTTTGAAAGTCGGTCGGTCATAACTTTAAAACTACTGCACTGATCGAAATTTTTAATAGTATTTCTATACATATATTTATATTTTTCATATTACAATAACAAATTACCCTATTTTTTCGAAAGAAAATCGCATTATTCCAGTTATGTTATGAGACATTGTGAGTTAACATTTTCCGAGACGCCCCAGCGGTTTTTGCTACCATTGTCGTATTTTTCTAATATTTCGCTAAGAAAATGTAACAGAATATTCTTCAAATGGTTTTTAAAAATAGATTTTAACTATTTCATGAAAAAATGGGACCTGTTTACCTATTTCTTTTAAATTTGGTAGTTTGTCTGTAGTCCAATTTTTCAGCCCTATAGAAAGTGACATTTATTTTACAGGTTCAAATTTAATTAAATTCTAGCAACACCGGTTCTTTACTGCTGAAACCGACTCGAATTTCATCCGCCCAAGGAAGGTTCTTTTCGTGAACCCCACACATGTTAGAGACAAATATATGACAATTAGCCTGAGTTTTTATTCGCACTTTTAAAAACTTTTATTATTTGAAAATAAAAATAAAAAAAACTGTTATTATTAACAGAGAAAAATATTTTAAAAAATAATAAATATATTCAAAAAGATGTTCCAACTTATACTAACATTTTCAAATACATTGATAATGGCAACCCATAAATAGTTTACATCGAATTCCTTTCCGAACCATTCCAATCTTATTGAAAATATTACCAACCCTACACATTTTACTTCACAACAGCAACACTGGTTTAAAATATATTTGTTATGACGTCATTCCCAATTCGTTCAGTAAATGTGGTTGCATTTTATTGTTTCTCTCCATTTTCGGCGTCACTAATAAAAATATATTACCAAAACGATAAAAATATATAGAAATGGCAGGAACATCACAAAAATATAGAAATTTTGTTGCTGAACCCATGGGTGAAAAGTCGGTGACAGAGTTGGCTGGAATTGGAGAGACGCTTGGAGGACGTCTTATTGAGGCGGGATTTGATAAGGTTTGTGCCGCCATTGTTTGCTGACAATCTTTAAAAATTAAAATAATACACACTTTAACGTACGAAACTTTCAGGCTTATACCGTATTAGGTCAATATTTGATATTAAAAAAGGATGAAGAATTGTTTAAAGACTGGATGAAGGAAGTATGTAATGCGAGCTCAAAGCAGGCATCGGATTGCTACAACTGCCTGAACGATTGGTGTGAAGAGTTCCTGTAAAGAATCCGTAATAGCTTTGTCACGCTATTTTAATTATTTATAATAATTTTGCGTTAGCGTGAAAATATTAGTATTTAAACAATTTTTGTATGAATATAATTTTTATAAGAAACATCTAAATGTAATTTATAACAAAAAAGAAATATCGTAACTAACTTAAGATGTACAAAAAGATAAAACTAAGGATTTTCTCAAATAATACATTTTAATGGTAAATAGTGCAATTGTTTTTGCATCGAATAAATGTTCAAAAGGTATAATATATAAATAAAGGAAATCAAGATAAAATTATTCACATTACATCTCTGAATTTCATTATAATCGTTGCTTAGAACTGGAAAATAAATGAATTGGTATCACAATAAAAGGCATAATAAATAACGAGAAATTGTGAAGGGGTTGGTATTATCCGCCATTTTCCCATTACCTATTTCTTGCGACTATATGAAACATATGTATGTCTCTTTCTTGCATTTGTAGAAAGACGTAAAATGGATTGCTCGGTAAAGCTATCAAGGTTGCCCCAATATTATCGACTATTGTATTTTAAACATTTCAATTTTGTGTAAAAAATTATTATTTTTTAATTCCCTTGGTATAATTTTTGTTCTCATTTTCATATGACTTCAAAAAGCTTCATTTAATCATCTGCTCAGAATTCTTATCAGCCGTGGGTTTAAAAGATTAATTTATTTATAAATTTTTTTCTCTGGCAACTCCAGTTTCAAGTTTCAACAACACGGGCGAGAATAGAAAGTGCATAGTTTTCTGCTCTCGGTAATTTTTACATAAAATTTTATTTATTAAATAAACGTACAAAATATAGAAAATTTTGAATATAACAAATTAAAAACAAAAAGTGATTTATTTCAATATATACGCAAGTTGATTAAGATTATTCTTTACCAGCTTACAAAGTTGAAGAATAGTACGTGGATAGGAGACAAAAAGAACGAGTATTTTTTCGGTAAAAGAGAAAAAGACAAAAGGAATAAGAAAGAACGGAATCGGAAACATTCCTGTTCGGTCCACGAAAATCTGCTGCTAGTGACAAAGTTTTTATAAACCAATATTTTAGTGTAGTCCTGAATTATGAGTAATTTTTGAAATTTCGTGTGTATTAATTAATTCATTAAGCAGCGTATTTTGAATTATTGATATAACAAATATTTCAAAGTGATTAATCGCTGAGGTGTATGAGACTATTACAGATCACTACCATCATTGTGTAATTTTCATTGTGTACTTATTTTGAAAGATTTGGTTTTTAAAATATAAATTTCTCTTGTGAGTGTGGATAACATTAGTGTTGCTTGTATCATACGTTTAAAGTGATTTGTATTTGTTACAAGAGGATTATTCTCTAATGAATTAAAATTAAGTGGTATGGAAAAGTTCATTGCCTCCCATTGTTGACCTGCTAAGGCGGGCAGAAGTATCAATGAATGACCGAGGGGAACAAATTTCGCAAACGATATAAAATTGATTTCTTTAGCCGTTGAAACAATCAACAAAACATTGTATATAGTCTCGGTGGAAATAGGTGTAGTGCACACGCGATTGGGCATTGCGTCGAGTTCGGGGATCCTCGTATTTTTGGTCGGTGCGTACCTCTGTTTCTGTTTCTTTGTCTATAATTTTTTTTTCTATGGTTGGCAACACCCTTTAAACAATTCCGTCATTCATAGAACAAGAAGGAAAGGTGTAAAAAAGAAACGAATATAGTGGTCGCTTCGATTTATCCACTAATAAATAAGCGTTAAAAAGAGAAGACGTATTCTCTTTCAAATAGTGAAGATTTTTTGACATACTATAAAGTTGCCAGAATAATCCAGTATACTTAAATAATTGCAGTTTCTACATGATTTAATTGATGTATCGTATAACTTAAAATTTATTGAGTATTGAACAATTTAATGTTGTGATGTGCATTTTTTTTTTTAATGTTTAGTGGTTCTAATATTTTACAAAATCTTTTCAATTTGGCATCATATTGTATTTTCTCTTTCTGGCATTTTTTTTGTACTATTGCAGGGCTTCTCGTTTTTGTTCGTAAATTTTTCTTGCGGCTACTTTTCACTCATATTCATTTAGCTCTTTTTTCGTCTACTTTCACACTCTTCTATGAGGAGAGTGGATTTTTGCGTAAAGAATTTTCAAAGGTTACAAAAATGGAAACGATTGCGAAATTGCTTTAATTCACCATAAATTTGTTTTTAGAAAAAAAAACATTATTTATTTCTGTTTATACCTCAATTACTTCAGATAAAAATGTGAAAGGTAAAACAGTGAAAGCAGGTTGAAGTCATTCATTTCTTTACAGACACTCGTCCAACCCTAAAGGTGTGCAGGGGTGGAAAGTAATATCGTGACGGCTACGGTAATTCAATGTTCATTCTATATATACGAAACTAAAAATTTCCAAAAAAAAAACGTAAATATCAACCAACGGGCGAATTAATTTTCTATTGTTTATATTATCAGCTTGTTGACATTTAGAGGATTGACAAATTAAATAAATTAAAAAGACATATATTTATACGCTTATATTAAGCCGGACCGATAGTGGTGAGTTGGCCGGTTCGTGCGTAATGAGTAATGGTCCATAAATCCTCTAGTGATTCATTTTATATTTATTTTACGTCCGGGAGCCCATTCCCAATACAATGAAGTGAAAGCTAGTGCGAAATAGAGTTTAAACAACCATTAAATCTTTAATTTTATAATGAATCTTTTATGGTTTTTACTTAATTGTATTTTATTAGAAACACTCACAGCATAATAAATTGAATCGGGCGAAAAGTCTGCCTAGTCCAAAAAACACAGTGCGATAAAAATATTTTTAAGGAATATTTTATTAAGAACCAATGAAACAAAAAAGCAATATAAATACATTGTAATTCTACAAAGCCATCGGATAACTTCGTATACATAACATCAAATTAAAACTGCAAAAACGAAACTAAATTTTTCCAAAAACCTAAATAACCAAACCTTTAAGTGCAACTATAAAAACTTCGTTTATTGCAACGTCTGCAACAATAAGTTGTTGCAAAAATTTAACAAAATTCCAACGGCTTACAATTAATTATAAGTTAAAATCGCAATATATTCGGGAAAGCGCTAGCATAAAAATAAATCTCGATGGGCACTAATTCAGGAGCAACAACCGGCATAAATAATAAACCCGTCGGTGCGGGTGGTGCAAGCGGTAGTAGCGTTGTTGGTGGTGGCGGCGCCAGTGGTGTAGGAGGCGTTGGCGGTGTTGGTGGTGTTGGAAACAACAGTTTGAGCGGTGCCGTCGGAGTTGGAGGGATTGGCGGTAGTAATATTAATAGTTCGCCCGGAACTGTAGGTCTTGGTACCGGTAGCAATGGTAGTGAAGATAGTGGCAATGGCGGAGGTGGCGGGTCTACCGGCCAAAACAATCAACAAACTACGCCACAATACACCATACCAGGCATACTACACTTTATACAGCATGAATGGTCCCGTTTCGAATTAGAACGCTCTCAATGGGATGTGGATAGAGCTGAATTACAGGTGAGACAGCTATAAAAAAAGTATAATATATAGTACATTTATTTGTTATTTGAATTACTTTGCTGATATTTACCTAGGTAAAAACTTAAATGTTTGTTTAATTATATGATTAGAGGTATAAGTACATATGCACAAGATTATTTCGATAATTTTGATTCGGTAAACGTGTACAAGATTATTTAAGCTTGATTAGCTTCAACGAACATGCATTTAAGTTTTATTTAGACTGCCAACTACATTTACAAAAACTATAATCCTTCACTTGTTTAAATATTGTCCTTCCTTTCTATCAGTTGTATATTCATATGTTCATATGTATTTTACATGTGTTAAATTGAATTTTTCCACATCATTTATCTTTGTTATTCGCTTATTAACGCTTCAGTAAAGATCAAAGAAAAAAAATCGACTCAAATTATTATAAATAATTCCATGTTTGGTATATATTTGTAAATACTATTTTAAAACAACTAAGGTTTCCATTCCTATTTTTGACTGAGTTTACTGCCGAATCTATATATTTCCAGTCATTTACATTGGTCATGCTCTGCTTGAATTACATACTTATTATAGTTTTTACAGTTTTCAGTTCGTCTATAAATGCATAATACAAAGCTATAATCAAAAATTTTAACCATAATTATCATTTTCCTTTTTCGCATTTGTATTTCAACACATTTTCTGCACAGTTAATTTTATTGTATTACCTAAATCAAAGCATGCTATTACCTAATCGTTCAATTTATAAGAGTTTTATGTTGTACATGCAGAGATATACGCTTATCGGTAAAATGTTAAATTTCTTATTTAAACTTCCTTTTAATAAAGTATTCATAACATGGTTTAAGGGAAAAAAGTTGTAGCCAAAAATAATATGTTGCATGTGCTTCAAATAGGTGTATCTTTTTCGTTTATAAATATTGATGAACTTAAGTACATATGCACATATTTGGATGCATTTCAATGTTTTTGTTTCCTAAATGAACCGTAAAAAGGAAATCGATATAGTAGACATGTTTTGTCTGTATAGGTCTGCTGAAATCCAAGAGGTGTTCTTTTAAACTTGGATAAAAGTTAATTACAAAAAATCCACACTTTGCGGGGTTCGTGTATTTTGTGAATGGAGGTTTAATATATAATTTTGTTCAATACGGTTTATAGTATGTACAATATATGTATTAGTAAATATATATAGTATTTCCATAAATTTCTGTATTTCATGTTTGAATTTCACTATCTCATTGTATAATATTTTCTAAAAGCAAAATGTGCGCCTCTCACCACGTATAAAACAATTCTTCATTTCCGCAAAATTCACTATAAAAGAGGCAACGTCACGCAATCAGCGTCAATGCATATACATTAGGGTGTTCGTTATTTACCAAATTGATTGTTTTTATACCCTGAACAAGGTATATTAAGTTTGTAACACCCAGAAGGAAACATCGGAGACGCTATAAAATATATACATACATATATGATTTGACGAGGTATCTACACGAAATTTGGCATGGATTATTATTTAAAGCGATAATCCAATATCCGAAGAAATTGTATCGGAGTAAAGTCCTTGCATGAGAAACTTTTTTATTTGACGAGGTACATATTACGATCATATCACTATATCATATAGCTTTTATGGAAAAAATCATTCGGACCTTTATTGGAAAATTTTGCTTTAGAATATAATTTTTTCAAGGTTGTAGGTTTACTCGTTTAATACAAAATATAAAAAAATCTCTTGTTAGATATACCGATGGGAAGAATATGTAATCAATTTGGAAGTAACGGACACCCAAATGTGCATATGAAAATATCCTATATTGCACCTACAAATATGTATTATAACACATTGTTGTTATTTTCTTTCCGTAGCTTTTCATTTCCACATACATATTGTACATTTGTACCTAGTAACTTTCTTACTGAATAAGCACAAGTATTTAAAAGTTACGAACATAAAAGAGAGAAGTTCTATAAAATAGTTGCCTTACTGTGGAAATTTTGCTAATATAGCAATTGAGGATATAGATGACTTGCATATGCCTGTTATTTGATATTTAATGTGTTTCGTTTAAATATTTCTTTTTTTTTTTACAAATATTTTTTTTTTTTTTTTTAAATATTTCTTTTTTTTTTTAAATTTTTTTTTTTTTCATATTTGTACTGGATATGGCAATTCACTATATATAAAGTATTTTTTGTTTTAATTTGCAATTTACATAAGCTTTTGTCAAATCTTTTCACCTAACAACGCAGACAAAATCAAATTTGCGAAAGCAACATACGTTTATATGTATTTGAATGCATTTGTGCAAATTGATCATATGTGCACATAACGGGTTGTCTTAAATAAATATGTAAATTTTTTGTTATTTTTTTTGCAAAATATAAAAAAACTTGGCGTTGGCTTTTCATAGACACACCGGCCGGCTATTGTTGGCGCCCACTTTGCACACAAGTGTACATAAATATGTACATTAAACCAACACAACTTGATTACCGTCAAACCGGACCAAATGTAAATGTAAACGGCCTTTACTTGTTGTCATTTTCCTAACAACATTTTGCGAATAAAGCGCACAACCACGAAATGTCCAAGTGTAGCAAACTGCTAAACGAACTGCAGCGAATAAGAGCGCGTGGCTGCTTGTGCGCTATCACATACTGCATACTTGTTCTTGGTCTTCACCTTGCGTACTGTTATTATTATATATAGTGCTCATGTAAACAGTTATAGACATCAGAAAAATTAACTAGTCACTAACTGGTTTTATGGGGTTTGTTTTTATCCGATAGATATTTGATTAATTTCACAATGTAGTTTGTTTTCTATTAGCGGATACTATAAATCATTTTAAAATATTGTTTCAACATACTTCTCTTTTGATTCGATGTTGAATGCCTTGAGTATTATTAGAGTTTTAAAGCTTCTACTTAAATTCCCCGAAATAGCTTTTGACAACGTTTACTGACTTCTTATTGCGGAGGAGAAGATACTAAACTTCTTTGAATATATTTTCAAATTTTCAATCATTCGAAAGAACATTGTTCGCAACCCGATTTGTACTACCAGCTTTGAATAACAAATGAATGCGACATCATGTGTTTTCATTATATTTTTTTAACTAAAAAATTATTTTTTCACGAAAGAACTACTTTACAAGTACACCATATTTGAAGTTGCACCAATTTCACCAGATAAACTTGTTTGTGGCAGTTTTATTCTGGTTGTACATGTGTATATTTTTAATCATTGGAAACCGGTGCTTTTTAACATTTACCACATACTTTGAAACCATCAAGTGTCAGCAGCCATTTGTCACTGCGGCCTTGTTTATTCGCCCAACTGTCTATTCATACCTTTGTTGCTATGTTTGTACTGATGCGTTCGTTGGCTGCAGGCGTTATTTGATTGTGCTGACGAGGGCACATCGAACCATTTCATTATTGCTTTTTCCTTTGCCCTCTTCTATTTGAAGGTTTATTTGATTCGTATGTATATAATGGCAGAGTAATCACATGCCTTGGTAAAGTTTTAGTAAACCATTCTCATTTCACAGCTGGAGTTTTTTTTTTGTTTGAAGTTAATGGCGGTTTGAGGAAAAGCTTGAATTATTTTGAAATATTGATGAAAATGTAAGAAAGCTTAAGAGTTGTAATGTTTATTTTTAAGATTTCAGGCATGTTATGCTTTAATATTAACCAGCCAGCCAACACAATGTCCGCCAATTGAGGTTTGCCCTTCAAGGGAAATATCACACTCTTTCTTTAGTACCTAAACTAAACTGCATAATTAAATGACTTAAAATATTTTATTATTTTTGATAACTGGCCACATTCCTGTCTGTCTCCGAGTGGTTTGTTCGAAATTTTATTTCAGACTTTAAATCGCTTGTTAATATCGAATATTATGAATAGTGTAGAAAAAATTGACTACAGTACAAAAATCATGTTTTCTAACTGGGGTGACAAACGAATATCATTCGGCAAAGTGAATTACGTTTGAAATCGAATTAAGACGTAACAGTAATTTCACGTTGAAGCAGTTTGTAGTTTTTTAATGAGTAAAACGACAAAATCTGCGTAAAAGCTTTAAAAGACGCAAAAACTTGTATTCCAAGAGTTCATCGTGGTCACCATTCAGCTGTTGTAATGGGCAAAAGTGTATCAGCATAGTGTTTAGAAGGCGTGGTAAGGCAGTTAAGCAACACTCTCTTCCGGGGAGAGTATTGCAACTTCCAGCAAGATTCAGCTCCAGCACGCAAGGCAAAAGCCATCCAGCGGTGGCTTTAGAGTAATATTCCAGGTTTCAAAACTGCAGTTGATTCAATTTGATTCATTGAGCTACAGCTTGTGGTCAGAGTTGGAGAACATAGCCTGTCGAACAGCCCACAGAAATTTGGAGAGTCTTAAAGAAATTTTGCTTCCAACAGCTTCGTCAATACCAATAGAAACTGCGTGCTGTTATTTATCACTGACCAAATCGGTCGAGGGCTTGTGTGAATGCAAAATATGATAATTTCAAATAAAATTTTGTACATCGCTCATATATTGATTAATAAAGTTAAATTTCTTAAAAATGTTTAATTTTTATAACGACCTGAACTTGTAACTCAACTTATGGCAGGACTATATAAAGGATTTTCCAATAATGGTGATATGATTAAAAAAAAAAACACGAATTGTTAATTCGTTAATTAAGTTCTTAATATATAACATTATTCAAATGGCCTCCATGACTTCTTTTGCAGGAACGAATTCGATGAACCCAATTTTCGAGTACTTTTTCCACTAAATCAAGTCGTATGTCATGAATAGCACGTTCAATATTGACTTCTAAAGCTTCAAAAGAGTCTGGTTTATTGCTAAAGACCAATGACTTAAATAACCCCACAATTTCTTGAAATTATCGAATCTCCAAACTTTTCTCGCAATAATTTAGTTGTTACACTTGTTGTGTAGCACGTAGCCCCGTTGGAACCAGATGTTGTCAAGATCAACTTCTTCCAATTGCGGCCATATAAATTTGGTTATCATCAATCTATACCGCTGTCCATTGACAGTAACAGTGTCAACAGCTGCATTTCGAAAGAAGTGCGGACCGATGTTTCCACCAGACCAAAAACCACACCAAAATGTCTATTTAGGTGAATGTAATGGCTGTTCATAAATAATTTGTAGATTTTCTTAGCACCAGAAACGACCATTTTTTTTCATTTAACGCAACACTCAGATGAAAGTGGGCCATACATAAAATGGCAAAAGCGCACGAAAAGTTGCAAATGGAGAACGATTATTTTGATAATAAAATTGAATATTTTGTAAACTTTGTTCTTCCGTATATCTTTCCATGATGAAATTGTAAACATTACTGAATAAAATGAAAATTACAGGTCATGACATATTAAAAATGGTCGAAACGACACTTAGAAATCATATCATCCCTATTGGAAAACCCGATATAATATAACAAAAACAATATCAAACAAAATAAAATATATATAAGCATTCGCAATTTAGCGAATTGATACAAAATTGAAATGGTGGCAACACAATGCTCACTTAAACTTTCATTACAGATGCCAAAGCATTTAAGACACAAAAAATTATGAGAAATTCACAAATTAAAAAATACAAAAGCTACAGAAAGCCGTAAGCAAATATTCATTTATATGAATATATATACATACATACATATGTACACGCTCATTCAGCTGGAATGTGCAAACAATGTGTTGCAGCTGAGATGGCGTTGCTGTTGATAACGCCGCATAGTGTGCACATGCAAACATTTGTCTGCAGAGTGGGGGTAATACTTGTAGTTTATATTCGAAATGCTGGCAATGGGTGATGGGTGGGCGTATAAATTTATTCAATGCTAAACAATTTAACAAATTTGCGAGTGGACTGGAAAGTTGCATGCATGCATTGTACGAGTATGAGTATGGCAGGTGGCATGTGGCATGCAACACTATTAGCGCCAGAAAAATTAAAATGAAAAGAACTGTGTAGAAGCAACCAAGGTGAGAACTGCAGCACAAAAAAAATAAAGCTACACGTATAAGATGGGTTACTGCAATGCCGCACATCATTTGTAGCAACAATAAAAATAAAATAGCTCTAATAATATTGCAAGAACATGCAATTTGAACATAAAACACACTATCGCGATTAAGCCTTAGCAACTTTCATTTGCAATTAAAGCAAAATTTACTTGAAAATGCTTACAGTGATTTAGAAAATTATAAAACAATTGCAATCAAAAGTGTCAAGCCGCCAACTTTTTTCAAAATTGCTAGTGTTAATATTGTAATGCGATCATATTTACATAATGATCGTGTAATTAATTTGCTAGCTATTTAACGGTATATATACGAACTAGTTTTTCAGTTTTTGAGTTATCGACCTGAAATTTTGCACACATTTTGATGAACTTTACACTACGCAAATGTTTACGAATTGGGACAGAGCGAACTAATTTTTTTCTACATAAACGCAATTGGTAGTATTTTTTTAATTAAAAATGCATTCCATCAAAATTCGCAAAAAAATCTTATTGTAATAATCTGGTGAAAGTAAAAGCATTTTTACACCTTTTTATGAATTAAATCAAATTGCATGTAATGCGCTCTTGTTTTGTTGCGCTTTCAATTTTCGTTTACTAGCGCAAATCCATAATGCATTTGCCTGCATTTCTCTTTCTGGGGTTTATCATTAATTAATGTCTACTTAACGAGCTGTCTATAAGCTTTTTTTTTATACTCCAACACACATAAGTAGACTTTTCAAATATTCATGTATATACATATATGTGTGTATGAGATTGTGCGTATCCAGCAGCTTGGTAAACATCATTATGCTAATGAAATTTTAATTTAATTTGCGCCACTCCCTTTCTATGTCCCCTTTTAGCGAGTTCTCGTTTAGTTTCTTCAGCTTTTCTCTCATTTGTTTCTTTTTTATTGTTTTGTTTTGCTGCACAACATGTTAAGCACGCGTGCACCCAAGTTCAAAGCCATACACAATACCATAGTACACGCTCTTACGTACAGCGTACAGCGTACACCGTAAAAATGAGCTCATTCAGCTTCAATTCCATTTAAAAGGCACGTAATAGTTTAACAACTTCCATCGGTGTAACCCATCAGTCAAGAACTTAATGTGCACTCGCTTAAGCATTTGTATGTATGTATATATGAATGTGTATGGACCACCCACATGCCTGTTGGTAGTGGCGCGGGCAGTCTGTCCTTTCAAAATCGTTCGTGTGCCTGTTACCTATACGTAGGTATGTGTGTAGTAACGGATCGAAAGAGTTATCAGTACTTAACAGCTGTTAAATGAATGTGTCGAGCGGAAACGTCAAACGTCAGCATTATCGCAGCACGAGTACTTTGCCGGGTTTCCCCCTTTGTTCTTTCATTTCATATTTTATCCTTTATGAGCATTCATATGCATACATAGGCGTATATGGCAGGAGTATCGAGACAGTGCGGCGCTTAATAAATTAGTGGGTAACTGTGAATTAAATATGTTATTGGAGCGTAGGCGCGTAAATTGCCACACCTTTGCTTTGCTATTGTGAACATTAATCTTTTGCGAGAATTTTTTTCCTTTTATAACCGTATCTTCTTAGTTGTACTTCAATGATTTATGTAGGTGCATGATTGTAGTATTTATTTTAAGTAAGTATTCATTTACTTCATAATCCGCTTACCCCGATACTAATCTTAACTACAAGTAGTTCGTATTCGTAAAGTTACTTGTATGATCCTAAATATGTTATGCAAATCAAATTAATGAATCGATCAGCTTGAACTTTACAAAATCAATTTTTTTCCATATGTATATTGTTCGGCTGTACCTTTAAAATCAATATACTAAAAGTTTACATTTATATCTCAAATAGTTTTTGTGTATGTTCAATCAGGTCCATTATTATAGTATATTGTAGTCGTAATTTTATCAATTTTTAATTTTTTTCGACCGTAGTTCATTGTACGGACAATATTTTCTAGTAGATAGGTTTCATCCACGGAGAAATCTGGCACAGAAAACTCAAATTTAATGGAAAATGTTTATTATCATTCGAAAGAACATTCTTTGGTATTTACTTTTTTAAGATTATCTCTTTCAAATGTTGGCCGCGGCTACGCCTCAGATGGTTCATCTGTTGAGTCTAATTTTTGATGACTCGTTTAAACATTTCGACTGGTAACTGGCGAATGACACGCGTGATATTTTGCTCCAAGGCCTGAATCGAAGCGGCAATGTCCGCATGGACTTTAGACTTTACATATCCTCACAGGAAAAAGTCACACGATCTTGGTGGCCAATTGACCGGCACAAAACACAAATTTCACAAACGTGAAATTATCTGCTCACCTAAGTGTTCTCCCAACAAATCCATTGATTGATGCGATGTGTGGGAAGTGGCGCCATTGACGGTTACATTCTCACCGGCATCATTTTTGAAGAAATATAGACCGATGATTCCACCAGCCCACAAACCACACCAAACCGTTATTTTTTCTGGATGAAATGGCAGCTTTTGAATCTCTTCAGGTTGCTCTTCGTCTCAAATGCGGCAATTTTGCCAGAAATGGGCCTCATCGCTGAACAAAATCCTAGTTCGAAAACGTCGGATCTTCTTGGAACTTTACAAGAGCCCATAGAGCAAAGCGATGTCACTTGGGAAGGTCGAGCGGCTTCAGTTCTTGCGCAAGCTGTATTTTGTACGCTTTCAATTTAAGATCTCGACGTAAAAGTCGTTCCATACGTCAGCCTGAGTTGCTGCGAATGGCGCCGAATCGACTCTCCACGGTCTTCGTGCACACTCAGCTACGGCCGCTATATTTTCTTTACTGCGTGCTAGACGTGATCTATTCGGTGGAATTTTATCTAATAATGAATGGTGGGTCTCAGCTGGGTAATGATGTTAAAAAAAGTATGCTCAGTAGGTCGATTAGGTTCACCATAAGTTGGGCGAAGCGCGCAAAACACATTTTTTATAGAACGTGAATTTTCGTAATAAAGTTGAACAATTTTAAAATGCCAAACAGTTAAACATTGTTTTCAAACATTGAGTTTTTGTTTGGTTAACAAAATACCTCCTATTTGGGCGTTTCCTATCTTTTTCAACAATGGCGCTAACCTACCTTTTTCTGTTTCTGAGGAGAAAAGACTAACTGACCGTTTTAAGACCTTTAAATTTCCCCTCACAAACATATTTATGTTAATAATTAAATTCGTATACAAAGAGCAGCCGAACAATATTTATTTAACACGATAATTACATGTTAATCCGAAAATTTTAAATGTAATTCACTTTCGTAAAATATAATGGCAGCGAATGACAGTATTAACATCCTTTTATGCAAACCTTAAATTGAAAACTCTTCGCTTGTGATTAATTTATTGCATGCTGAAATCAATTAATTTTGTTTTCATAAATATTATGGATATAGCATGGAAAAATAATTTACTTGACTGGTAAACTAACCTACCACATGAAGACTTTCTGCAACCATGACGCATCCCTTGCGTTGTAGTGACGCCTGCTGCCCACGTCACCAGCCACACCATCTCGAAAAAATTAACATGTTATATAATACTGAGAGGAGAACACTAGCATACTAACTAACTGAGTGACCGAGTAATTGGTCGGTTGGTCTGCTGTTATGGCAACAAAATAATTCCATCAATTAACAATTGAATTAGCGATAACCGCTAGCGACAAAATGCTGATGTCGACGAACAATGTTAATGTTTTCTTCCGAGGGTGGCATTAATCTACAATACATAGGAGTATATACGCACAGAAACGTTTACATGAGCAAGCCAATTTAATGGGTGACATCCATTGTGAATTAAAAAAATTATTGTGCACGTACTTATATTGAATGTAATGATCAAGGGAATAAGATTTTTAAAGTGCAAATTTTTTCACAAAAAATGTTTTTTTTTTTTTTATGATGCCACTTTTTTGTTAACAATCTGAATTTGGACTTGTCTTTCGATCAGTATTAATTCATATTTAGATTTGAGTAAATTTTAAGCAGAAAAATCTTTCTCACACTTTTTTTCTAAGGTCGTCCTGGAAATCGATTACGACCGAACTTTTAATATATTATTTTATTCATATAAATTCATTTAGATATCCATACAAAAAAACAAAAATTTCAGCGCCATTGCCATTAGTTACTCCGTAGAGATGCATATATACTTATGTACACATATCGCTTCCTTCTTTGCGAAGCCACACCTCCTTACATTTGTACGAGAAAACTAATATTTACATTTAGTCAACACAATTCATGGGCGGCGAAATGCTATCCACACATAACTGCTTCACACCTTTGCTCTTTTTGCGTCCTGTCTGACGCTCTTCGCTTGACAATTTTCATTTTGGTCTTTGAAAAGTACAATAAAAAAAGAAAATAAAAAATGAAGTAATGTTATGCCAAAATCCCTAAGGTAATATTACGGACTGATTTTTTCACAGTTTGTTTTCATATTTGTAACCCAGCAGTATATTCGACTAAAGTAGTATTGCACCAGTTTACAGCTCCAAATCACGATTACAATTTGAAATAGGGATAAGAAGAGATAGTATTTGAATGAACACATCAATCGGTGAATGAAATGATTTGTTTTTTGGTCTATGGGTTGCCAAACCAGTTTGTATATAGTATGAGCTCGAATTCAGACAGCGTATCTGAAATCATCACTAAGTAGAAAAACAGATTTACTTTAGAAGAGAACTCTGATACTTCTACGTTTAGAATCGCGAGGTCTTTCCAGTTTTGATCGGAAATAAACAAAGCAGAGACCGGTTATACGAAATTGAGGAACCTTTCGACCATTCCAGAACAACTTCGACCTGATAGACTCTCTAATTACTCCTTATATTTCAGTGTAGATTTTTGCGACTCTAATAGCGATTGTTCAAATAAGCTGTCAACTCAACCATTTGTTCAACGCTGCTATCTCGGTATCAATCAAAAAAGTCTGAACTAATGATTAATCTAATTAATATGCCATATACATATATGTATACATATATATATGTGCATATATAATTCGTGTTTATGTTTGAAAAAACAAAAACTTTTCACACTAAATAATCTGGTTTTCCAACATTTGAATGATGCGAATGTTGTCATTATTTCTTTGGAAAACTACTTTATACCTTTTTATTTTATATTATCAGTTTTGCCCACCTTATCCATTTATCGCTCGATCACTCTACATATTGCACACTTTTAAATAACAATCTTTTGTACTATATTTAACGCTTCTTCATTTATCGCTCTGCATCGATTGTATAATATGCATATAATATCTTCCCTTTGCTTCCTTTTTATCATACACCCATTGAATTTTAATTAATATTGCTGATATCCATGCGTTGTTGCTATAGTGTTGATGGCATTTCGAGCACGTACAATTGGCTGGAATACTCGTATACGAGTTGCGCCGCGACAACATGTCTTCCCTCGTTCTACGTCGCGCTCATTCTTCGCAGTTAATAATTACATTTTTATAATCAATTGTAAATGCGAAATAGTTTACAACGCTCCTGTTGCTGTTACGATTATTGCTTTGTTATATTGGTTGATTTCGATGTTTACATATGTACATACATTCATTCATATGTACTTAAATAAATACATGTACCTACATTCAATAGGTTTAACATACTTGTATATCACCCAAGGGCGCCATTCAATTTGTTTTTTTATAGCCTGAACAGTTTGCCACGAAGTTTGTAACAACCCGTAAGAAGCGTCGGATACCCTATAAAATGTATATACAATATATAAATGACGAGCTGAGTCGATTTAGCCATATTCGTCTGTCTGTATATATACGAACTAGTCCCTCAGTTTTTGAGATATTGATCTGAAAATTTTCACACATTCTCTTCTCACTAGGAAGCTGCCCATTTGTTGGAACGCTCGATATCGAATCAATATATAACTGCCATACAAACAGAACGATCAAAATCAAGTTCTTGTATGAAGAACTTTTTTATTTGACGAAATATCTTCACAAACTCTGAAGAAATTGTTCAGATCAGAGCACTACGTATAGCTTATAGCTGTCATACAAACTGAACGATCAAAATCAATATTTTGTATGAACCCTTTTGTATTTGTGAAGGGTATTATAGCTTCGGCAATCGAAGTTAACGTTTTTTTTATTTATTTTTTATTATCACAAATGAATGTTAATCGCGTTATCAAAAACTTCTGCTTTCAATGCAAATGGATTTATTAATGAGTAAATTTCTATAAAGGAATGATAATTCTTACTAATTCAAACAAAAATTTATTACAAAAGACTCGATTATTTATCTGTAATGAGCAAAGACACTTAAAAATAGCAGCTGTTTTTTTTTATAACCGAGTCGAGACAACTCAAAGTTATACCATTAATCGTGCGCTATAATTTTAAAAATTTGAAAATTCCTTCACAACAAATAACTTGTTTGCGTCAAATGCGGGTAGCTTTTTTTTTTTATTTATTTAAGTCGACTAAATATTTTAGTTAAATATAATATATTATGTAAGTATTGTATATATATATTTTTTTAAATCTCTACTAAAGATTCTTAGTAAATTATTTATAGCATAAAAGAAATTTATTTTCTATATCATCGTTGTTATAAGCTCTATATGAAGCTTGTAAGAGCTCAAAGCTCTATTTACTCCAGTATTTGTAACAACATCAATTAAAATTATAAAATATCTATACTATTAGAAATGACATATATAATATTTTCTTTTTATAATCCAGTGATTTCTACTATCCCAGTATGATTTTTAACTCATATATCGTATATTACCTACAGATTTTTTTTAGAGCTTTCAAGATTTTATTATTAAAATATAATCACCTTAATTATTTTCTATACAATTATACCTATAAGTAAATAAAATATGCATATATTTTTATTAGTAAATATTATATTATCAATTGATTTCTTTCCAGGCGCGCATAGCAATGCTATTGGGCGAACGAAAATGTCTCGAAAGCCTCAAATCAGATTTAACACGACGCATTAAAATGTTAGAGTACGCTTTGCGGCAAGAGCGTGCTAAATTCTATCGACTCAAATATGGTACTGATCCGCCTCAATTGAACGAATTGAAGCCACCAACTGATGATGCCGGTCTTGGTAGTGAAGTAGCGCCTGATTCGGAAGTACCATACAGTTCAGTATCGAATACAACTTGGCGGCAGGGTAGACAGATGCTACGACAATATTTGGCCGAAATCGGTTACACAGATAATATAATCGATGTACGTTCGAATCGAGTGCGCTCAATACTTGGTCTCAATAACAACTCCGAACAGGAGGAGAATGTCAGTCCCAATATAAATGGCAATGAGAATAATAAACGTACTGCGGAATCAGAGGGTTAGTAAATTTTATAATTTTCAAGATGTTATTGTTCCATTTAAACATTTTTTTTTATTGAATAGGTCGTCGCACACCAGCTAAAAAAGCACAACAAAATGATGCCATAATTTTGGATACTGAGGCCGCGGTAATGGCTAATTTCGAATTTCTTGGTACTACTGAAATGTCTGATGACGATGAGATTTCTGACGATCTTGAAATGGTATCTGGCGAAAACGATGATACCGATATGAAAACAACAAAACGTAACAAAAGTAGCAAGGATTTGATAAGCGAAGGTAGGACATAAAGTTGCGCTTTAAATAGCCAAAAAAAAAAAAATTCAATTATTGTTGTATCAGTATATTTACATGTGTGCATTCATACAAAAATGTACGTGCATATGTAAATATTTGAAAGTACGTACTAACATTTCCATTATTGTCTATTACATTTAACTTACTCTACTTATTTACTAAAATGCGTACTCTTGCCATTTGCTTTTTCACTATTAATTTAATTCTATCGCTCATCTTCGTATCTTCAATTTGGTAATATGAAAATTATTATTTCTATTGCTTTGCACTTTGTAATGGCTGGTATTGAAAGAACATTTATCAAGAGCAAGCTTTTAATTTATTTATATTCTGCTATACAAATAGGGTTTTGACCAAAATACACACCCTTTATGCACACTGAATAGTAAAGCAACTATTTATAAAATAAATATATATTTTTGAATTATTTCGGCAGTTAGATTAAACAAGTGATAATATATTTGATTAAATAAAAAGTCTTAAGGAAAAGAAAAAACACACAAAAATATTTATAACAATGAGCATGGTATTTTCAATTTCTTAATATTATATTTGCTTATGTAAAATTTATAAATTGTGTGTTTTCTTCGAGCGACTTTTCCATACTTCACTTTTTCATTTCTCTTAATTAGAATTTAAATTAACAATTCAATTATAACGATCGCCGATTTGAGTGCATAATTATCACACATAGCGGTGTGGTATAAATAACGACCGTTGTAAAAAGTAAAAACTGTCGTAATCTGTTATTTCATGAACCGAGCTTTTTGGCCGCTTTCTACATTTGTCAAAAAATATTAAATTTTAGTTTTTGAATTTTGTTGTACATATATTCGTAAGAAATGCATAGAAATAGATCAATTTCCAGTCCTTGGCCGCATAAAAATCCGGGCCGTTCCAGTTACGTAGACCCGACCGTCGTCGGAAAGAATAAAAGAAAAAATATTCTACTAGAATACTTTTATATCTATACATATTAGTATTGTAAATTTATTTTTTGCCGACAAACAAGCAAATATGACAGTTTCAGTATTATAGAATCTATTGCATTGAATATAACTATACAAATTAGTTTAAAAAAGTCATAATTTCAAGAATAAATCACGCTTTGCTTCTCCTTATCTCTTCGCCAACTTACATACTAGAATGATGTACTTATTTATGTATATAAACACGTATACCACTTTTGTATCGTTTTTGTTTTGTTTGATTAAAACGTATTAGTTTCATTTGCAAAGTAGTATTAAATAACAAATTAGGCAAAATATTTTCCCAAACCTTACCTCGACTTAGTTTTAACTACAATTATTTTGCATAAAAAATGTAAGTTTAAACACAGTTGTTGTAACAGTAAAAACTCGATTAGAAAACAGCTTACTCCAGCATATATTTATAAAGCTATTTTTCCTAAGCATCAAAAACCTTCGACTTTCGTTATTTTTTTACTTTTCCCAATGCTCTTTCACATTGTAACGTTACTTTAGTATGATTTAAAATATACCCTTCACTACTTATGTACGTATATGCATACATATAAGTATAATCGATTTCAATTCATTTTCATTGCAATAATATCACGCAGCTTTTGCGCAGTCGCACTAAGCGAACCAAAGAAAACCATAAACAAAAATCAGCTACAACAAAAGTACAAGAAATTTTCTTCGCTTCTTTCTATTTCAACAATTATTTTGTATTTTTTGTTTTATTTTTTTATTTTTTATATATTTAAAAGATCTTGATGCCGAGGTTGGGGAGCAGCTTCTGAATGATATAAATCTAATAACCGAAGGTGCTTATTATTCTCATAAATAGTTGTTCCTTCTTTAATAAAATTATTATTAAGATTTTTGCTTTTTAATTCCTGACTCTTGATGTGAATGCATTTCGATGGGAAAGCAAACAGTATAAGCTTCGTACTCTCACTAAACTGTTTTTAAATTCAATCAAACGAACTCAAAAAAAAAAAAATAAAATAAATAAATACTGAAATAAAATATTTTGTTTTACTTTAGAAAAACACATTATTATACTTTACAACTGTCTAAAAAAGATTTTCTAAATTATCCACAATATATTGCTACCGCTGTTTGCTCTCACCATGGTTTTCCGTTTTATGATAATAGAAGCATATACATAAACCTTAAAGTGTTTCAACATATTGTATGTAATTAGTATTGTTTTTATAGAAAATATATATGTACTTTCAACTAATTGATTTCTATTTTTATTTTCCCTTTCTATGAAATATATTCAAAATTTTCCCAACCTACGACTATTTTCAAACCGATTGATTCCATTTTGATATACACATCGATTTTTGTTCGTTGACAAATTATTCTAAATGAACCGTATTCATAAATACCACCAATATTCCTGACATACAACTGCCCTCCCCCTCTAAGGATACTCATCATCGAATACGACGGAACAATTGAACAACACTGCTAACAATGCAGCTGCCTCAGCCGCGGCCCGGCGCAATCTCATTACCGCTGTCACAGCCGGTGGCGATGAAGAGGTTGACGCCTCGCTCGGCCTTGGCGAGCTGGCACAATTGACAGTGAACAACGAGGCGGAGAGTTCGTACGATGCGAACGCTAAGGATGGCACTGGTGGCGGTACTGGTAGCTACCGTAAAACCTGGAATGCCAAATATACGCTGCGTTCCCACTTCGATGGTGTACGTTCATTGATTTTCCACCCGGAAGAACCGGTGCTGATCACTGCATCTGAAGATCACACACTCAAATTGTGGAATCTACAGAAAACGGTACAAGCCAAAAAGTCAGCTAGTCTCGATGTGGAACCACTATATACGTTCCGTGCACATACCGGACCCGTACTGTGTCTCGGCATGTCCACCACCGGTGACGTTTGCTATTCGGGCGGTTTGGATGGTAACATTGAATGCTGGCAGCTACCATCGCCAAACATCGATCCCTATGATTGCTACGATCCGGGCGTACATTCAGGCACATTAGAGGGTCACACAGACGCTGTGTGGGGACTGACCACGATGCATAGCAATATTGTGTCATGCTCAGCTGATGGCACCGTGAAACTCTGGTCGCCATACACCAAGGAGCCGCTATTGCGCACCTACACTGCTTCCGAGGCTGAAGGTACACCATCATCTGTGGATTTCGTGCGCAATGAAGTCGATCACATTGTGGTGGCGTATAATAGTGCTCATTGTATTGTGTATGATACGGAAACCGGTAAGCAGGTGGTCAAATTGGAGGCTACACAAGAGATGTCTGGCAATACGGGGAAATTCATTAATAAAGTGGTATCGCATCCGACGCTGCCTACAACAATCACTGCGCATGAGGATCGACATATACGCTTCTGGGACAACGTTTCGGGTACGTTGATACACTCGATGGTGGCACATTTAGAACCGGTCACGTCGCTTGCTGTGGACGCGCATGGCCTGTATTTGCTGTCGGGCTCACACGATTGCTCGATACGACTTTGGAATTTAGACAATAAGACATGCGTGCAGGAGATCACAGCGCATCGCAAGAAATTCGATGAGAGTATATTTGATGTGGCGTTCCATGCTACTAAGCCATACATCGCTAGCGCTGGAGCGGATGGCTTGGCCAAAGTGTTCGTTTAAATATGCATATTTTGGCCTAATCGAAATCATCGTCAAAACAACAACCACCACCACCACCAAACAACAACAACAACCGGCTAGATAACAAACATATATGTGTGTGCGTCATTAAAAAGTGATGGTGAAAGCAGTGAGTTGAGAAAATTGATTTTAAAATGACCATGCGACGTTGATGAAAGCGACGGAGGAGGAGTAGCAGAGTAATTTAGTAAAACACGACACGCTGTTAGGGGAGTTAGTGGAGCAGGAGGATGTCAAATAGCAAGCAAGCAAGCAGTTGAACGATTGAAGAATTGTAGTGCAAGTAGAGCTGTAGTTGGTTTAAATTAACAAAACAGAAGTAACAAAAACAAAAAAAACTAATTATATATATATATATGATACATTTATTATTATAAAAATATGGATTAAGAAGCATTTCTACTACATACATACAACAACAACAAAAGAAAATTGCTATATATATATATACATACATAATAAATAAATAAATAATAAAACTTTTCTAAAAACAAACAACAACTACAAAATGCAAGAAATAAAAATTAAATTAAAGAGCATTCATAATGACATGAGTGTTTCCCATGTCTTAGTAATTAGAGCTAGAGAGGATTTGCGTACGCAAGCGAAAATCGAATGATATACTCAACACATGAATGTATTAAGTGTATGAATAAATATTAAATATATATATAGTTTACAATTACAATTGTTTGATTTATTTCGCTCGCACGCTCTCATGCGTATTGTTCTTTTTTTTCAGGTTTTCGGGCAGCTTCCAGCGTAGATAAAAATGCATTTTCGAATAAAAAATAAAAATTAATAAAGTGTAAACATAAAAAATGTGACTGAGAAGAATTTGATGAATATAAATAGTTGTTAATGCCAGTCTATGCAGTGCAAATGAGCATTCAATCTATAGGAATAATCAACTTCTATCTATAATTTTTTTTAACATAAATTACTAATATTTTCAATATACCGGTTAATTTTCTTATAACTGGTCTAATTTAATTGCTTTCAGTTTGAAATAAATAAATATCGTCGTCGAAAACAGAAAATTGTTTCAAATTTGTATTTTGACTTTTATACAGAAATTTTTGGTAGAGTTAATATAATTAGTACTAGCGTTTTTTTTTATCACTAATGAGCTTACAAACACATACTGCTTATGAAACATACAAAATAAAATATTTTGAATACACTATATACCCATCATACGGTTGAGTATATCATTCGATGTTTCCTCCACTAAGCAATTAGCTGCAGTAAAATCGTATAAATATGACTTCCTGTGGTTTAGAAATATATCAGAATAAAAAACGAGCAACTACACGAATGCAGCAAGCTTGAAAAATGCATAAAACTAGCGTGTAAAATAACTGCTCATTTTCATTTGCTTAACTGATTTCCGCAAAATCCCGTCCTATTCCTAATACCCGTACTCCGAAATGTAAACAAGCATTACATTTAACTATTAGCAGCAATCCAATAACGCAACAAGAAAAAATTAAAATAAGACAAGCAAAATATGTATAAAATGTACTAAAAAACAAGCGGCGTATAGAGCATTCAAGTTAAATTTAAGTATGAAAAAATAGTGGCATTTATAAAAGCGTGTACATTTTATGAGCATATTATAAATAATATTTTATTATTAGCCAACATTTTCGATACTTTACCTCGTAGACTTCTTTCTTGCAGTACAGGTTTGCGTTTATTTTTTCGGCATAAATAACTGAGTTAACAACTAGACACTGCATAAAAATGTAGCAAAAATTTCAAGTAGACAAAACTAAATGTATTTAATAAACATAATTCATTACAAACCGTATTAGCTTAATACAACTCATTAACCGTAGAGCTATTTTAAGTAAACAGTTCATTCGACATTTTCAAAGCGGTTTATCATTCATTTATTGAAGTAGTTGTTGTTTGCAACGACATGTCTGCTCTATCTATTAAGCTTAAACTCGTATAACGTATACTCGCAGTTGTAAATATTCATACATAATTTTTAAACACAATATTTATTATAAAAAAAATGCTAGTTGGCTTCCAGAAAAAGCACATTTGAGTTAAAAATTTCTGTGTTTAAGTAAAGCCAACCAAATTTTGTGAATAATAAATAATTAATGAAGTATTTATTTGTGAAAGCTTACATCTCAATTAAATATAAAAGAAATACCTTGGTTTTAATAAAACGCTACCTTTCAGTTTTAAATGGCTTGCTTTCAACATAATAATTCCTTTCAATTGAAAATACCTCTGCAATTATTACAATATTTCAAAATTATGCCAACCTTCGAGCCGATTCAATTTCCTTAAAGTTCTCTCAAAATGCAAAAGCTAAATATTATAAAACTTCCATACGCATTATTTTCGCGACTATCTCCCCGTTGTATGTATATCTCATAACTAAAAGTAATACAAAATAAAAACCGTAAATATATTTGTACGAAGTGGAATAAGATTAAAAGTAATAACTTTTGCACAAATTTAAAATAATTAAAACTAAGCTTTGAACAAAGAAAAAAAATCTGAACACACATGCATAATGAAATAAGTAAATAAGTTTCCAAAAAATTAAATTAAATTACAGGTGTGTATGCCAAACAACTCAATAATATTAAGAGAGCGCGAACAAAGCAAATATTTGTATATAAAACATTATAGTAAACAAAATATTGGCAAAGCGCATACAAATATGAAAATTTATTTTATTTTTTTTAAATTAAAAAAACATTGTTACAGTTTATTTCCAAAACCTCATCCCCTAAAAAAAAGCTTCTTTCATGGACTTTAATTTCCAATTTTTGTTTTATTATAAACATTTTATAAAAAATTCCAATAGAAACGCTGGCGTTTCAACAGGATATTAAAATGATGTTTATGTAGTATATACATATATTTCAAAATATTATTTCAACGCATTCTTAATGTATGAGCAAGCGTCATAGCACAATACTCGCTCATATATTCTAAAATCATTGCTGCATACCATGAATATATAACAAATGCTAAGATTGACTTTTTACTTACCAGCCCTGGGCCGGATAAAATCCGGGTCAATTGCCGGCTGTTGTTAATTTGTGGTGTGTCGTTGCTAAAACCGAATAGTAAGTAGTTGCTACCTTATTATTCCAAAGTCTCAAAAAATTACCGGGTGTATTATCTTATAAAGATATGGGGTACACAATTAGCTGAATGAATTTATCTTTTTCTAAAACACACTGTGTACATTTCTTAATACATAATTATTAAAAGTATATTTTTTTATTTTAATTAAGAGATCTTTACAAAATAGGTTCATGACAAAAGAGTTTAATGTTCTTAACTTGCTTGTGGTAAGGTGAAAAGAAGAATCACTTTTAAGTAGGACCAAGTATTCTCAACTCTTACCATCTTACTATCCCTCAATGTACACATAATTAAAAGTATTTGAATTTTTATTAGAATCTTTTTAATTTCTTTTTATTTAATTTTTTTGATCTTTATATTATTTTTTCTAATTTATATTATATTTTTCAATAAAATTTTTTTTTAAATACTTTTTTTTTAAATAATTTTTTTTGTTTAATTGTTTTAAAATAATTTTTATTTATTTATATTTTATTTAATGTTTTTTTTAATTAAAATTTATTTTAATCAAAAAGCTTTACCAATATGGTAGGTGGTATATATGTACGTTGGAAAATAGAGGCAATTACATAAGTACACCAGATTACAGTAGCGGTCGAAATACTAGCAGTACTAAAAGAAATTTTACATACAGTTTATTTCATTTGCTCTCATTTGAAGTGCGAAAACGACATTGGAGTTTCTCATTTTTATATAAAAATATTTGTATATGCAGGTTTTGAATATAACAAAAGTATATATACGCTTAGTTTTAATAAACTGATAATATATATTTATATTTTTTTTTATCCCCTACATGATTTCCACAAATTAGGCACAACAAGTTTCGACCGTCTCTGCCTTATAGTTATGAGCAATTTACAAATAAACATACAGACAACCTAAACTGGACACTTTTATTTGCCGTTTACTCGATAAGACGAGATGTTACGACAAACACAAGTATTTACATACTTACATTAAAAAAATAAATAAATAAATAAAAATTAACATATATATGTTGTTTAGTTTTCAAATGTTTTATAAGTGAAAACTATTGATATACATATATAATAAAAATCATATATAATACGCATTAAATAAAATAAAAAGTTGAGGAGGAAGAAAGTAAATTGAACTATGAATGGTTTGCAATATTAACTCTAAAATTAAAGTTTTAAATAAGAACAAATTAAATGGAGAAAAAGTAATAAATAAAAAATATGAATATGAAATGCAATGGTGTAACGCTATAAGAAAGACACACTCATGCACACACCATATATTAAGTAGATATAAACAATTTACAATAAAAAATAATAGATGATGAAATAACGCTCTCATTATTATAAATAGTAATATAAACATAGTACATTAACACATGCATGAATGCATACACATACATAATTATATAAAAAGTAGTAGTTCAATTAAGATTGAAAAAAGTAAAAAAAAAACGATTAAATAAATGCATAATCTAAAGAAGATACCACGGAATATTGAATGATGTAATTCAACTTACTGGCGTACTGATTATATGGCGCTAGTTTAACGCAAACCAAATGCGAAAATTCTTCAATAAATAATGAAAACTAAATTATTTAAAACAAAACGTGTTAGGAAAAGAAGGGAAACGCAAAGTAAAACAAACTTCTTACTTGCTCTATATTTTAAACGCATAACACAGTCTATTATAGTTTACAAATTGATTTGTGTTTTATTTAAATGTACTCGACGACGCTCTGGATTCATGCATAACTTCATACATATATGTAAATGTTATACTCATTTTATGATTAAACGTGCATACATACATACATATGATATGTATATGTATGTACATTATAAAACATACTTTCATAATTATGTAGACTATATATAAATAATGACCCACACTTACTTACATATACATACATACATACATATATAAATATGCATATATATAATTATATGATATATACAATATTATAAATTATGAGAATTTTTAAATTGTAAAGAACAAAAAAAAAATTGAAAATTATATTAAGTATAATTGATTTAAGATTAAAAACAAAAACAAAAATTGTGTTTTTTTTTCAATCCATTAATTGTGATTTAAGAATTTCACTATCGCTTCACCTGGCTTTCAATACGATTGACTATTTACGTTGATTGTAAATATATAATATATATAAACAGTGATAGTCATACATCCAAATATTTGATCACTTGGGTTGGGTCACTTCGTCATTAGATCGAAATGGACTGCTTAGTTTATCCGCTCTATAAATTATACATTAGGGTGTCCGTTATTTCCCAAGTTGATTTTTTTTTAGTTCAGTTTTTGCTTTTTTAAAAAGATTTTTTTTTAAATTTAAACCGTGTTTAAATTATATTTCTTTTTTATACAATAACATGGGATTTTTTTGCATATTGCATTAAGCAAGTAAATCTAAAACTTTGCTAAAGTGATCTTCTATTACAAAACTTTCTGCTCTACAAAACGCATAACATTACCTGCGTATAATAAATATATAAATGTAAATTTAAAGAAAAAGAGCGAACAATTTTTTATAAGAATATCATTCGTTTCAAGTTGTAGGTTTATTTGCTTTGGAAATACAAAATTTATTGCAAAAGATCAAAAAATCCCATATAAAATGTATGGGAAAAGTAAAATTAATTAGGCACGGTTTAAATTGAAAATAAGGAGCTTGTTTCCTTCGAATCCTTTTTTTAAGACAAAAAAATCAACTTGAGGAGGCGTTTGCAAAGTCAAAATTAATTTGGAGATATAACGGACACACTTGTATACATATATCATTTATGGTTAAAAACATTTAACGATATTAGTACCCGATTTCGTATGCAGCAATACCCTCTAAACTATTGATTTTTCAGTAGGACTTCGATGAAACCAAGCCTTCAATAAAATTATTTTTTATTTTTATTTCTCTATCGTTCAGATCAAACAGGCATTAATTAACTCGTAAACTACACATTTACAAACTTTTAAATAATTGTCCGTTAAATATTTTCTTTGGGCTGGCACTGCTTTAATTCCAATCAGCTGTTCCTATTCATTCGTGCTTCTTCTAGTTTTACACATTTGTTTTACGTAAAAAGCCGCACAGCTGGTTGAAATACATCTCCTAATTTTAGTAACCTACTAATATTTGTCAATAAAAATCCATATTAAAAAAAATAATGTCACGAAATATATATCGTTTGATGAACAACTGTAGTAGAACACTGGTTTTTCAAGCACATGCTTGTCCATCGAAGTTGATAAACTCACCGGCCAATCATATACAGCGACGTTTTGCTGCCACAGACCCTACAAAAGGCAAGGGTCCGATTTCGTGGAAGAGCTTAGCTTTTATTGGTGGTGCCGGTGCAATCGGTCTAGGTTTTATGTTGTACGTAAAGAAGGAAAAAGAGGAGGCAATAATGCGCGAACGAAAAAGGCAATTGGGTAAAGCGGCGATTGGTGGCTCTTGGGAACTTACTGATTCGGAGGGTAAGGTACGCAAGTCGGAAGATTTTCTAGGGAAGTGGTTGCTGATTTATTTTGGATTTACACATTGTCCGGATATATGCCCCGACGAATTGGAAAAAATGGCAGCGGTGGTTGATGCGATAGGTAAGAATTATTATGGTGAAAGCTGTTTGTATTGATTTTAATTAATACATTTATAACTGTAGAAAAGTCACCACAAACTCCAGAAATTCAACCGATTTTCATTACTGTGGATCCGGAACGTGATACCAAAGAAATTGTTGGCAAATATGTGAAAGAATTTTCACCAAAGTTACTGGGTCTTACCGGTACTGTTGATCAAATACGAAAGGTTTGCAAAGCATTCCGTGTTTACTTTAGCGCTGGTCCACGCGACGTTGACAACGATTATATTGTATGACTTTAAATGGGATATAAATATATATGTCATAATTATTCACGTAATAATTTTTTCGACAGGTGGATCACACTATCATTATGTACCTAGTTAATCCCGATGGCGAATTTGTGGACTATTATGGTCAAAATCGCGATAAGGATCAATGTATAAGTTCGATATTAGTAAACATCACCAAATGGAATAATTTGAACAAAAAGTCTTGGTTTGGTTAAGATCATAAGGAATTGTAGTAAGATTTTGTTCTGAGTTGTATTATTAAATGAAAATATGTTTAATTAATTTGCATTTAAAAATAATGCTAATACCCAACAATCGCGCAATAAATTTTCAAAAGTGAATATATGTACATAAGTAAACGTATTCATACCTAAATGTTGGTAATATTTTATATGTGTATTTATATGTTTAAATTTAAACATAAGTTCACCGGTTTGTAGATCTATCGAGATTTGCTATAAATTCTTTGCAAAGCAAAAACGTGGCATCTTTCTGTTGCAAATGACATTCAATTGAAATTTATATTGTCAGCACTGCCTCTGCACACGAAGCTTCTTTTTGACATTTCAAAGCGCTGTCCACAGCATTAAAAGAAATTAATTTTTGTGAAAACATATAAAAAACAGTACAAAATGGTAAATATTTGGTTAATTTTGTGGCAAAATCGTTTTGTGCAATCAACAGCATTTTGAACTACAATTAATATCTCAAAATATTATGGTTTTGTGAAATTGCTTTCTCGACTCCTAACCTAAAAACATTTAGTTGCTCATCGATTGCCACTTCATGAGGAATCAATTTTTAATGTATGTTTATTTTAGAGACCTTTAATGCTGCAAGGACATGAGCGTTCCATAACGCAAATTAAGTTTAATCGTGAGGGTGACCTTCTGTTTTCATGCTCAAAGGATCAAAAGCCTAACGTGTGGTACTCACTAAACGGTGAACGTCTAGGTACATACGATGGCCACCAGGGCGCGGTTTGGTGTCTGGACGTTGATTGGACAACATCGAAACTTATATCGGGTGCCGGTGATATGACTACAAAGATATGGGATGTTGAACATGGTACTGTGATTGCTTCGATCCCTGCCAAATCTTCTGTGCGTACATGTAATTTTAGTTATTCCGGCAATCAAGCGGCATACTCTACAGATAAAGCTATGGGTCAAAATTGTGAGTTATTTATAATCGATGTGCGTACGGCAGATTCCAGCATTGAAGAACAGGTTCCAATTTTGCGTATACCAATGTTACCTTCGAAAATCACTTCTATGCTCTGGGGACCTTTAGATGAAACCATCATTACAGGTAAAGTTTTCAGTTTTTATTTGTAGCTTTGCATGTAATATTTTCAAATTTTCTAGGGCACGATAACGGACAAATTTCTATTTGGGACATTCGCAAAGGAGGTCGTGAGATTAATTCTGTAAATGATCACACCGCTGGTATAAACGATATGCAAATGAACAACGATGGCACAATGTTTGTCACTGCTTCCAAGGATACATCAGCAAAACTATTCGATTCCGAATCTCTAATGTGTCTAAAGACCTATAAAACTGAGAGACCTGTGAATTCAGCTTCAATTAGTCCGATTATGGACCACGTAGTGTTGGGTGGTGGCCAAGATGCTATGGAGGTGACAACTACATCTACTAAGGCTGGTAAATTTGATTCACGTTTCTTCCACTTAATTTATGAGGAGGAGTTCGCTCGACTAAAGGGTCATTTCGGTCCCATTAACAGTTTGGCCTTTCATCCGGATGGCAAAAGTTATGCTTCAGGTGGTGAGGATGGTTTTGTGCGTGTGCAAACGTTTGATAGTACATATTTTGAAAATATCTTTGAGTAGATACATCCATGTATATATGTGCTTATTGAAATAGTTTACTTTTTAGTCACCTCCGATAACCTTTTTGTAACTGTATTTATGTGAAATCGAAACTGGTACGCAAATATAATGTTTGCTAATAAAATAAACCTCAAAAGATATGTGAGAACAAGAAGAAAAGCAAAAATTTCCTTTTATTCGCGATTATGCAAATACATACAAATGTATTTATTTTTAACATTTATAATCAATAAGCGTATTATAGCAATGGTTTTTATTCAAATGCTAAATCGGCTTGTCACATATATATATACACGCGCAAAATATAGGACCACTGATTCATCCTCTCTCTACGATGTCTATTTAACGCTTGTTTTGATCATCAGTTATTCCTTAGAAAAACGATCGTTTTGTTTTCTTTAGCACAACAGGTTGGCCCTGCATCGCTGCATACTGCGCCGCAGTTGGAGCACAACCTGGTGGCGGAGGGGGTATGCTTACAGCCCCAGCTGCAGTTGTGCGTAATTTGGCACCTGGCGCTAAAGACAATACATGTGGTTCTTTCACATTGTTGAATGTCGGTGGTGCAGTAGCTGTAACATAATGGTGTTGATAGTATTGTGGCGGTGGTGCTGCTGCGGTATAGCTTTGCATATAACTAGATGTAGCGTTATAATTACAAGTTTGCATATATGGAGTAGAAATTTGATTTGGTGCTCCATGATTTTGATGATTTGGAGCAGATAAATACATTCGTTGGCTCTCTTCATATGAGGGTGGTGGCGGCCGCTGTAAATACACACGCATGTATCGGGTATATACACAAACAATATATTTTCATAAGTAAATTAGTTACATTATTGCAATTTCTAAATGCTGCATCATTAATGGAGGCTGGTGCAGATGGTGGCTCTGCCGTGGACATTATTTTCTTATCTGCAATACACAGGTAAATACATAAGTTTTTTATGTTAGCTGAATTTAAGACTTTTCAAAAAAACTATAAATTTTACCGTTAGACATTTTTATTTTGTCCGAAAGGGTTACGTCGAAATTTTATTTTTGTGAAACTTTTTATGTAAAAGTTAGCAGACAATAATTTTCGCCTTAATTTTTTTCTTGGTTGAAGAATATATGAAAATAATGACATTTGTTTGTATACGCTGACTCTACTGTCAAAACAAATAGTTATGACATATGTATGCAGGGCTGCACTGCTTACTATTTTAATAGCTTTGACAGCGATTGGTGAAGTAAAAACAAACTGCATTAAATATTAATTTTTTTTTTAATTTAATTTTATTTCACGATATATTTTAAAAACATTTAATTGTTTGTTATTTTTCCAATAGTTACGTAAGAAAAATAGTTCTTTTTCATCTACGCTGCTTCAATTTCTTCTAAAAATTTCCGGCATTTTTCTTTCAGTACTTTTACTGCTTCGATGAAAATCACGTCAGGCTTAAGAGATCCAACGGATTCAACGTTAAAAATGTAGTGATCGCGCACTCGAGACATTGCTACTGCGTTTTCCAATTGAGGATATCTATACACGTTGCGACTACAAGTATCATAACGGGCATCTTTTACATATGCACAGTCATTTTCATCAATACCAATCACACCTGGTGAAAAGCATTTCTGTAAAAGAAATGCCTCTTTGCCTTCTATTCTACGTTTTAACTTGATTTCAGGTAACAGTCTGTAGAACGCCGTGGCTACAGGTGAAAACTTTGCATGATCTTTTCCAATGCCTTTGACAGCGATTAGTCGCAAGTCTAACTCATGACCAGGGCGTAGTTGATTTATCAGTATATCGTCGTGTATACAACCCACATCTGTTTCACTGAAAATTTGCGATTGTTTCCCTTTTGGTAGCCATTTTATTTGACCAGAATAGACTTTGTGGTTTTTATAGATTGTGTCGAAATTTGAAGAATCTTTTACATCTTTACGTCGTGTACACTTTACTTTTAATTCGAATTCTAAAGTATCGTGTTCATTTCCTTGATCACCACTCTCCTCTGTTTTATATAGAAAACGACGTGGATCTGCACGAAGTGGTATAAGACCAAGACGATGGGCTAACACTTCATCCTGCATTATTGATGTATTATTGTATATGTACACCTTTTCAATAGCCATACTGGGCACTTCACTGAGCATTAGACGACGAAAAGCATTTGCTATACCTGGATGAACACCGATCATATCGAATTCCATTTCATTCCCATCATATCTGCAATAATATTTAATGATTAATTCCGGGAAGAGTACAATAGAAAAAATTCGATTTATTTACTTTACAACAACTATTTGAAATTTTTTCTTAAACGCTTCTAAGCTGAAGGGTTCGTCGGCAAGCCCATAATCATGCGGATCCTGTTTCAACTTGTGCTCATCCATATACAATCGTGGACGTTGAATATTAGTAGACATCTCTGCACACAAATTTCCTGCTTAATAAAAAGAGATTTAAATTTTTAAATACGCACTTTTATGAAGATGGTAGTGCAGGCACGTGGGAAAAATGTTTGTTTTGGTCTTATCTTCGTTTTGAAGACGCTAAATGTCAACGAAAGAAAGGGGAAAAATATCGACCTTAATGAATCAGGTGTTGCTTCGTTATTTTTTTATAAAAATAAACTTACTTCTAAAAAAATTATCAAAATTTATTAACATGTACATATATTATTTGCTATATGTTGAAAACTTATAAAATATGATTACATGAAGTGTTAATTTAAATTAATACCCAAAAAATAATTTCCGGCAAAGAAATACAATTATATGGCATCACACTGAGATCCTCTTCACCATTGTTGATTTTGCCGGGATATATAAAAAGTCAACTTATTTTTTTCAATCTGGCGAATTTAAAAGATATTTTATATGCATAATTATAAAAGTTATATGAAAAGCGTTAAAGTGTTTAATAAATTGTTTCTTTTGTCGTATTTTGATCATCACTATGGCAAAGCGTTTTCAGCCATTCAAGGAGTTTGGGCGTAGCACAAAGAAGCCCAAATTGGATGTAAGCATAAACAAAGGACGACCTTTAGGTCCCAGTCAGTCTTGGCCAAATCACATACGTTCAAATGCTGTTGATGTACATGTACAAAGTCCTGCTCGCAATAATGTGAATAATAATAATTTATGGGATGATGACGACGACGATGTTATACTATTGGCCACTCAAGTAGCCGAATCTCAAGTGGCTATTAAAACATCGGAAGTAAATATTACTGACAGTGATATTACTTTCAGTGAATTCGCACCACATATCCATGCCACCACGAGCACACAACGCTTTACAACAGCAAATGCTGCACTCAAAGCCTCGGCTAGTGCGCCTCCAACGATAGAAAACAACAATTTTTCCGAATTGTTCGCTGATGACGATGATTTTGCGGAGCTTTTAGACGTAGCTGGAAATGGCAAAAAAGGGCAAGAAGTAGCTCCAGCGCAATATGTTGAGAAAGACAATGTATTTAAAAAACCAATAGCGACAGTAATTGGAAGAAATGGCATAACTAATATAACTCCACAAGCTACACAAGTAAATACAGCTCAAACATCAGATGGCCAGCAAGCAGCGGCAAGACGGCAAGTTGCGACGGAGCGGCAAGTAAAAATGTTGATGGAACGTTTGGATACTATAAAAGCAGAAAATGCTAAACTCACAAAAGATCTCAGTGAATCGAAGGCCAAAATCGAAAGCAAGGATGGAGAGGTAAGCTAAAAAATTATTTTTCTTTTTCAAATGAAACTACAACTTTATTCTATTACAGTCTTCATTGTTACGCGATGAGTTGCGTCACATGAAGCAACAATTGCAAACATTGAAAATGGAAAAAATTATGAGTACCGAAGCGGCGAAAACTGAATGTAAAACCAAAATTGCCGAGTTGACAAAATGTGTGGAGGCCAAGGATTCGGAATTAAAGTTGCGCAAAGTGGAATACTCAGTGCTGAAGATGCGTCACGCCGACGAGACTCAACGTTTAGAAATGAGTATACGCAATGCCAACGTTGCAGGCGATGTGCCTATGGACGAAGATGTGGAGCAAACGTCAAATAAACAAAATGCGCGCATCCTTTATCGTCTACGTGATTTTTCATTACCCACAGGATTGGGCGTTATAAACAACACGCATCTAACGGAAATCAGTGCAAATGCCTTTGAACGCACACAAGAGCGTGTCACAGGGAAACGACAACATACACCATTTCAATTGGAGTTGGCCAATGCACAAACGCTACTGGCACAATTACAACTGCAACGACAGAAATGGTCGTGGACCTCGACGGAAGCAGCTGATTTCAATGAACGTGCTATCGCCTCCGCCTGCAATGCATTACCCGAGTTTTGGACATATGTACATGGATTAGAGTTTCCTAAGTACTGCAATGTACATCCCTATCACGAATATGATTTGCGTAATGATAACTACGCAAGCCCTAAACGCAATTTACACGCAGAACAGCAATTATGCGAGGATGAGCGGGCAATTAGCCTGCGTCGTTATATTTCAGCTTTAAGCGTCATGTGTGGGAGAGCGCCAAATTTTGCACAACAACTACTGATGCAACATCACGGCGACTATGCATTGCTGCAGGTAGCATGCCATGCCATCTCCAAGTTGGGCTACTCACGTGAGATTTGTGCACACTTCGGCGTACTCGAGGCATTTGCCGTTCTCTTGCGTGTACTATTGCGACAGCTGCGCACAGGCGATAACGCACACATGGAACTGCTGGTTGGTGGTTTACTAAAACAGCTGATATTTGTGCGGCCGAGTGCATGGATATTTTGTGAGTTATCTTATTGCGTGCTGGAGTTGACGCGTCTGCCAGCGGCTTTAGAACAAATTTGCGTAAACAGCGATGATAGCACATTTTACAGCGATCGCATGCGTTCGCTCTATCGATTCTCGAACGATTCCTGTATACTGCAGGTATATGCGGGTCTGTTGGAAATTGCATTTCCACTAAATGACATATTGAGTGTGTCACATATGCAGCTATTGACCGTCATTTGTGAAAATCATGTGCGTTTTGCGCACTTCTGCTTTATGAAGCCACCCGATTTCATACACAAATTACTGCCCTCCTATGACGATGACGACGACGAAGAAGACGAAGAGGCGGAGCAACAGCTAGCGGAAAAGAAAGTTCAAAGTTGTAAAAGTGTTACATGCAAAAGCATTTCCAGTGAAATCTCTGTAAATAACAGTGAAATGGTTGCGACGGCTAATTCGACATCTAATATGGAGAGTAGGTCTAAGAAATCAACCAATAGTAATATTGCAACTCGTTGTGAGTGCTACACAAAGCTGTGTTTAAGCGTTGTAACGCTGCTATTTCAACTGCTGCGACAATGGCGGTGCACAGGTCGCAAAATTGGTAAGTACTAGTGAAAGTCTAATACGTGCGATGTTTATTTTGTTATTTGTTTTGTTTTGCCTCTTCCAGAAACACCGCGTGTGGCTGAGATTTCTCAATTATCCGTACAATTATTACACACAATTTTTTGTGATAACTATTCCACGCATCTCTTTCGTTATGCCGAAGAGACCACGAAGCATTACCTTTGGCTGATCTGTGAATGGTGGTCGGAAAATGCTGAACGCTTCAAATTTAACAGTGCACAAAGTATGTCAGAATTTTAATGATTTTTCATTTATATGTTACTATAATATTATATATTTTTCCCACTACGTTTCCCCCTTGTTTTTTTTAGATAATTTTCTTAAGAAGTTACGTGCTTTCCACATTATGCCCAAGCAGTTAAATGAGGAGGGCAATCCCGCCAATGTCCTTAACGACCTAAATGAATGGCATTCGCTAACCAATGATAGTAGATTACGAAATGTCGACACTTCTGTGAATCTTGCCTTAGCTGTAGAAAAATTGAATATTATGCACTATGCTGGTGATGAAACAAAATTCTTCGAAGGCCTCAAAGGTTATGCCTTCAATTTTGAGTGATTATATCTTGTCGTAAAGTTGTAAAATTATGATTGTTCTAAAAATGAAATGAGGTGGAAGACGCACTAAATTTTCTTAGTGCGTGGTGTTAAAGCTACAATTATTTTTCTTGTTGCATTATTTGCATATACGAATCCTTGTGACTATTGTTAAGTTGATTTTTAATGTGTGTTATAAAAAAAATAAACAATAAATGTAAAAATGCTATAAAGAAACATCAGAGGTTGAAGATAGGACGTTAAATATAATCGTTATGTTTCGATATTTCTTATTTTAGATCTTCTCGGTTTAAAAGTACCCATTTGGTTAGTAACGAATTTCAGATTTTGCGTCGTTGACCGCTTGCTTAATTATTTCCCCAATCTACTAGGCGCGCAGAAATGCATAGCAACAACAAATGTTTCCATAAACAATGCTTTTCGTCCTTTTTCATCACGTTTATTTCATTTGTTTTGCTCGCACCGTACGCGGAACAACAAATTCGCCACCTTGCCACCTGTCGAACTATTTTACCTGATCACCATGGCTTGCTGTGTAATTCTGCGCGTTTGATACTTTTAGATGCTAACTTTGGGGAAAGACTTATTTGATTGTGCCCAACATTATTAATTAATTAACTTATATTTTTTATATTCCTCCTAATTTACATTTTTAATTTGCTAGACGCATGCTCGTGTGGCTAAATTTTTACAAACACCAGGCTCCCAGATATGCATGACAACAACACGTTTTTTGTAAACAACGCTTTGCATCCTTTTTATTGTTGCTTATACCAATGTTTTGATGTAGTTTGTTTTGCTACATTACATTGCCACCTGTTATAGATTTTTTAGCGCCTAATAGATTTTGCCAATCACCTTGCTGCCCATTTCTGTGCGCCTGGTAATTTTCAGAATTTTTCATATTATAAAATATTTTTTATTGTGAGTCGGTAAGGCAGTTTGGCAGTTCTATTGGTTGCCACATTATGCATATGGAATGAATAAAATGCAGTAACTTATTTTATTTTTTATGATTTTGGTAGATCATAAAACCTGTTAAAACAAAAAACCAATATTAATTAATTTTACAAACATTTATTTTTAATTAATTAAGTAAAATACATAATTTATGTGAACAAAATTTGCTCAATTAAACCTACACATTGGTATTATGTCTTACATTCTTAAGCTTTCGATATAAAAGTACAAACCATTCATTGAGTAACACTATACAAAATGCTACATGTGCTAAATATTATTAATATTTTTTCTTTTCTAAATTTAGTACTTCAAAGTGATGTGTATAAATTGCATTGAAATTTCTACAAATGCGCTTACGAATAAACAGAAAATGAAAATGTACAGAAAAAATTTTAATAAATGAATTATGAAATTTTTTGGAATCAATTTTTGGTTATGTTGCACAGAATATTTGGTGGCTATTTAAAAAAAAAATTAAAACAATTAATTAAAAAATTAAATTTAAAAAACAAACCATTAAAAAAAAAAATAAAATAAAAAAAATAGAAATAATATTAAAAAAATAAGTTATAAAACAAAATTAATTATAAAAAAAATATATAAATTTATGTATGTGTGCATATGTATGTATATTCGTAATTGAACTCAGGAAATTATTTAAATTCAATATTTTGACTGAATAGTATAAAAAAAGATTATATAAAAAAAATTATAAAAAAAAGATTATATAAAAAAAAATTATAAAAAAAGAAATTATTTTGTAAAAAAAAAATATTAAAAAAAAAAATATTTAAAAAAAATTTATATTGTAAAAAAAATTATAAAAAAAAATTATAAAAAAAATTATACAAATAAAAATTATAAAAAAAAATTATAAAAAAAATTATACAAATAAAAATTATAAAAAAAATAATTATAAAGAAAAAATTATAAAAAAAAATTATATTGTAAAAAGAATAAAAAAAAAATTATATTGTAAAAAGAATAAAAAAAAATGATATTGTAAAAAATATTATAAAAAAAAATTATATTGTAAAAAATATTATAAAAAACAATTATATTGTAAAAAATATTATAAAAAAAATTATAAAAAAAAATTATATTGTAAAAAAAATTATATACGTAAATATATTTATAAAAAATAAATTATTTATAAAAAAAAAATTGAATGAAAGCATAAAATATTATTTATAAATCTTCTTTCAAATTTGAAACCAAAGAAGAAAGTAAGCGTCATAAGAATAACGGTTAAAGTGCTTTCAAATACCAAGCGCAAACTAATCAAGTCTCAACTACAGCTATTTCACATATGTATGTATGTGTTAAATTCGAAAAAAGTCAGTTCAAAATCAAAACTTAATACTATTACACTAATACTTAATTCATAAAGATGCGGTTTATATATTTAGTAAAAACGGCATTACTTAAAATAATCCGCAACACTAAAAACATATTCGAATATTACAATAACAATAGGGTCCACAGAAAATCCATAGGTACAGACATGTAAGAGGGTCGGTAGGAAAGGTATAAAATACATTATTCAGCTGATTCAAGTATTTGAATTAAAAATCCATATTAAGTGTAGTAATATACATATATATACACATATATGTATGTGCCCATGATATACTTCACCAAATCCAACTAATTGGTGACATTACCATTTTAAAGGTGTACTTTTATAGATGTAAGCATTGGCTCTACAAATAAAAACAATAAAAATTACATACAAATTAGATATTACGCACAAACACACATATAGAGCTATAAACAAATGGACGTGTAGGACTAAAGTATACTTTTAAAGTGTGTAAAAGAGTTGTGCGGTATGGGGGGAACAAATTAACAATAAGCGATAAATTAAAAAGCAGTTCTTACTTCACAACACCTTGCGCCTGCGCGGCCGTTAATGTTATCAATGGTGTTAAGCGCTCCACAAAACGCTCATGATTTCGTTCCAATTCTCGCTGATAGTCCTTTTGATCGCTCGATATTAAATTACGATTCTTCTTCAATGCGTCGGCGCAACGTTTGGAGAATTCACGGAAACAAAGTCTTAGCTTATTTTGATGTTTGGTTGGCACCGTTACGCCATCAGAAAGATTCGCGAGAAAGACTGTAGCCATTTCCATAGGTCCCTGATTGACTGTAGTGCCGATGCAACCTTGCAAAACCATTTGTAATATTTTCGGATCGGCCGGTTCTTGATTGGTAGCTGCTGCAAGTTCAGCTGTCTTCTTGTGTATATCCTCGATAGCCACTTCAATCGGTTCCAGTATGATTTGTTGTCGCGCGATCACCTGTATACGTGTCTTTACGTAGGGAAAGTGATTGGCTGTGGTGAGTATGGTCTTACGTTTGCATTGCTCGTGTAGGTCACCATGCGCTTTGCCGGACTTGGTAAATGGCGTGGCGAATATGAAACGTTCTATGTTATAAGCAAAGAATCCATATTAATTATATGCTTTTTGAGAAATTTTAGAAAAATTCAAAATTTTTTTGCACTCACTTATATTGAAATTACGCTCGAAATAGGTCTCACGGTGACGTAGCTCATAAGTTTCGAAGTACGGTTCCACGTAGGTTATTTGTATGTAAGCTTTTTCGGGATCCAATGAATTAATATCGACCGAATTAGAGTCTTTGATTATGTGAACTGAGTCGGGACCAAAACGATCGGCATAAAAGTTCTGAAAGCGCATACAATTTGTATACCGTTAGCAAAGTGAATATTTCATATTTCTCACCTGCAGGCGACTAAATATTTCTGGTAATTTAGTTAGTGTTGGTTCTTTGTAAATGAATTCTTGCTGATCCAAATCACCGAATTTCGTGCCATAGAAGCCGACACGGAAGTAAGTGCCAAATACACGTTTGCCCTGCAGTTGTGCGATGCGATTGAAGGCCTCTTGTAGTTTACCATGAATTTTGCCCAATTTCTGAAAATCTCGATTCGCTTCACAAATGGGTGTTAAAATTTTATACACCTCATTCATGGCCTCGTACATGCCAGCAATTTGAAATGAATTCGATGCTTCTTCCAGCAACACTTTCAGCCCACTTTCGGTAAAATGATTGCCCAAACAAATGCCATCTTCGCCAGGACTTAGTACATCATCCGAAACGGCTGACTCCATGAGCGCGTTTGGTGTGACACTTTGAAAGCTAACAGCGCCAACGGGTAAGTGCGTTTGCGATTCCAACATACTAAGATATTCGGCAACCAGCGCCGCCGAATGTACATAACACATGGCTGCTTCGGTGTGATTGGCGCGCTCACGATGCTTCTTCGCCATATTCTCCAACCAGGTGAGACGTAAGTCCGGATTGTTTTGATAACCTTTGGCAATGCGATGCATGAGATCGAGCAGCATTTCAGGATCCTCTTGGTATTCTTTCATTTTAACGGTATCGGACAGTATCATGTGCAAATTGAAGAGTAGATCTTGCACTTGCTCGGGAAACGAGGTTTCTTGCAGATCCTGATCGGATTCGGCGTAAACGAGTACAGTTTTCAGTGCGCGACGTAAAGATTGTTCGCTGAATGCAGGACTGGTGCCGACCAGCGAGCTGAGCGACATGGTCACTTGCATTTTGACACGCGCAAAGTTCTAGTTAGAAATGAGTTGGAATATTTTAAATATACTTGAGCACAATAATATATGACTAATTTATATCATTTGCACTTACATTTCCGATCTCGAAGTTTTGCCGCATGAGCAAGTACAGTGATGCCGAAGCTTGTGAGCGTATAGCCGGCAGCAATGAACCGCAATGCTTCAACAGCAACAAACATAGATCTGCACAGATGTCTGTCTCTTCGTCGAAAAGCAAATTCGGGAATTTAAAAATCAATGCACGTTGCGAGGCGAACAGATTTTGTAGCGATAATGTGCTTTGATTACGCGACAGCGCATGCAGCATTACTTTCAACACTGTACCCAATAGATTGTGGTGCATTTCCGAATTGGTAGCAACCTGTACAATGATTTCCAAGGCATCCAAAATAATCAATGAGATCTCGGTGGCCAGTGAGCCTTCGATAAAATGGTTCAGCTCGAGTTCGGGATCCGCTTTGGTGGCGTTGTCGTAGAATTGCGAACGATATGGCATTTGATCTTTGCGCCAACGAAATTTCTCCGTCGAATTACGATCTTTGCGCCTGTTGATGAGATCATAACGCGCCGAATTTGTGCCACGTATGCATTCCTCTAGTTTTTCCTTTAGATCGGTCGGTTTACGAAAACTCTGCGTATTACGTTTGAGTGATGGCAAACGCTTTTGACCTTTATACTCGAAACAAGGTATACAGGTGTTCAATAGCTGCAACATTTGATGCACACGATGCGGATTGAGACCGAGCAACCAGCGATACAAGACGCTACGTTCCAGATTCTTTAAAACCCAAATGCAACAAGCGAGCAAATGTCGCGTGTTTTCGCTACTCAACTGAGATTTATTTTTTATCTGCTCATTGAGATAGTTATAGGTGCGATTGCCAGAGTTGGCGTAATTAAAATCAGTATTAATTGTGGATGTGGAAAGACTCTGGTGGGGACCTTGATAGTCTTCCAATAAGCCCATGCTTTGTAGACGATCATTTGTGTCTGTGAGATATGGGTGTAGTTGTGGTATAACATCCATAACGACGCCCAGTAGAGGCAAATAGAGCGATGCAACGCGTGCGCGCGCCTCCACCTCACTGTAGCGTGGATCTAAATCGTGCGAGGTCATTAGATTGCGTATGCAACGTATGGCTTTACCGTGCAGCTGGGGATTGCTGTAATTAAGAGAGATGAATGAAATAAGTGCAGCGTTTACATAAGATGTATTATTTGGCATTTTTAAATGAGTCGCTACATACGGCACTTCAAGCACTGTCGCCAAATCGCTCAAAACCAAACCGACGAGAAAATGTTGTTGCCGAAAATCTGCATTTAAATCCGCGTGCAAAGCGCGCTCCATGGAACTCTGGCAAAGTATAAAATGAAAAATTACAATTTTCTAACAACTAAATGCGTTAAACTCACATAAGAAGTTTGACTATTGCTCGACGTGGTGCTCGGCGTTGGGCTGCAAGGCGCCGATACAGTGGTGTAAGGCGTGCCGAAAGGCAAATTCAATGCCACAAAATGCTCATGACTGCACACTATGCGTAAAAAGTCGATTTTGTAATTCATCAAATCCGGTATGGAGGCATTCTTCGATATCAAGACTTTATAATAAGTTTTGATGAGACCAAAGACAAAACCGCGATCCATTATGCTAAACAAATCGAATATGAAGAAACCCAAACTGGCATTTAGCGATTGCGCTAATTTCGGTTCCTCACTGTGATAGCCTACCACTTTAGTGGTTACCAAATGTACAAGTGTCGAAATGTCATCCGTAAATTGGTGTGGGAAACGTTGTTTGCGTGGCGCAGTTAAAGCGCTGCTATAATCTAAATGCTCGATCATGGATTTGACAATCAATTCGAAGAGAAACCATGAATTGGACATGGCGAGTTCGGTTGCTTTGCCGCTGGCCACAACCCAATGTAAAGCCAATTCTTCATGTAGCAAGCGTATTTGACCATCGCGACTACCAAATGTGGGCGACAATTCTAACGTGTGCTCTAAATATAAAATATTGGTGTTATTAAATTTTAAGAGCAAAAAAAAAAATATATGTATATATAATATAATATAAACCTTTGCGATCCAAACTGCGCCCAATGGATACATTTTCGTAGAGACTGTATGTTTCGGCGGCATTAGCCGATAACTCTTCGGCATTACTGCGGCTGTAAGTGATGCGACGCTTGCCACCGAATGGATGTGGTATGCGGCATTGAAACTGCACGTAGGTAGAGAGCAGCGCCTGACGGCCATACTGGTCGACCACCAAGTCATCGTTAAGAATCTAAAGTATTGTATAGATTAGAAAATGTAGTATAATGCATTAAAAGTATTCATGATATGTGAAAAAACCTACCGAGAGATTCGCCGACACCATACAAAGCATTTCGAAGACGGTCGAACCTAGTGAAATTGGTTGACCGCCTATTTTATAGGCCGTCACCAAAAGCTCTATTAATTTATCCAACACCAAATGCAGATTCTTCACCAATGGTTCGCGTTCAGCACTAGCAATCTCCAGCAGTGCCTTTTTCATTTCATTCTCCATATTGCCCTCACCAATGCGTGGCGGTATTTTGCGTGAATCCAAATAATCGCAAGTGAGAAAGAAACTATAATAAAAATGAAAATAAACTTCAAAATAAACTTATGTTTCATGCTTAGTACCCATCCAAGTGTGGATCCAATGTGTGCACTGCCGTAACGGCATCCACTGTTATCGTAAAGACGGGCCGATGATTATCCAGCCATTTTGTGCCGGGTAAGTGTACATTTGGCGGTATGAACGAATAATTTTCTGGTGGTGTTTCCACCATGACAGGTAATTGAAATTCGCCCACTTTCAATTTGCCATCCTGCAGCAGTGGCAGCCACGTGTAACCAACGGGCGTTTCAACAGATGGTTGTACCTCTTGCGGTTTCTTTTGACACGAAACATGGTAGAGCGTAAAGAAGAGATGATGATTTTGTTTAATATACGCTGGTAGTGCAAATTTGATTTCGTCATAGAATGTTGGACATTTGTTATGATAGTTGACCGCAGTGAAGGCTTCGCTGGCATATTCCGGACATGAAGATTTGCCATAAATTGCATTTACTGCATCCATTTGTGTTTCACCTGCCATCAATTGTACGCGTACGGCGATGTTGCGTGCCGAACCGGCGCGTGAGGAGAAATTCAACTCTTTTGGTGAGACGAAAAGCAAATTGCGGTATGTGTAATGTGGATTATAGATAGCGGTGGAGGGAAACTCCAATATTTCCTTGATTGGACGCGTTTTATCTTCGGGATAAGGATCGACTTTGGCTAATTCGGGTGTTAAAGCGTTTTTCACCTCTTCGGGACAAGGTAAAATTTCCAGTTTTATTGAACCGGGTATGCATTTATATTTTTTCATTGCGTTACTGGGACGTTTCAACTCGGCTAAGAATTTGTAGAGGTCTTCATCCTTCATTTTATCAGATTCCTGTTGAATAAAGTAAATTAGTAATAATTTATATAAACAAAAAATTTTATTATGGCACTTACTTGTTTAAAGAAACTGGATACTGTGATCGTTATGGGTCGGAAAGTCTCAATTACATTTGCAAAGTCATCCAGTGACCAGGATCGCCGCTTTTCTTTGCGTTCCAGCGAGCCGCGGCGCGTTAATGTGCCGCTCATATCGTTCGCTTTACGGCGTAGTTGATCAAAACTACTAGTGGATGCTTTGCGATCTGCATTTTTTGTTGTAAATAATTATTACATAAATACAAATAATATTGATAACTCACCTAAACTGTTAGAGCTCACGGCCGACGTCAAATTACCACCACTTGTGGTATCTTTCTCTGCATTAGCAGCAACAGCATCTTTATTTTCCACATTCTCACCATTAAATATGCTATTCAAATAAATACCTGTCCATGCAAATGGCATACGATATTTACCCAAACGCTCACAGAAATCAGCAGCATTCGATTTGGCTTTCTCGCGATACTTATCTTTGTCATCTTTTAAATACGGTTCCACAGAATCTTTGATATCACCCTGTAAGACTTTTTCCAAACGTATGACTAGAAATATGTCGCTACTCGGATATGTTATCTCAAAAATGCCAGCACGACTTTGTGTGCTTGCGTCTGCGCAACGCACATGTGTGCTAAGCATACGCTTCAAATTATCTGAATTCATATCAAAGTAGAAATTTTCCGATATCTTTTTACGTTCTTTCGCATCGTAAATTGCCATTGTGGCGAAAATTGGTTCCACTTCTAATTCCAAACGTAGCTGTAAGCATTTCACTAGTATGCGATGACCCAAATGTTCCATGGGTATTTCAGCTGGTAAACGTCGTTCGATAATATCCTCTGGATCAGCTTCAGGATAGAGTGTAAAGAGCGCTTCCTGTCGATCTTCTTGTCGACGTGACTCATTCATTTGATCAATTTGTTCCGGTGGCACATCATCTAATAAATTCGGTATTAGTGGATCATTTACCGAACGTCGCAAATCAAAACTAGCCCAAGAGCCGCGTGGCGTCAATGTATCTGTGCATGAACTTACTGAAGACAAACTGGCGATAGATTGTCGTGAACTTGGTGTGCAACTATCGCTTTTGTCTGTTAGGTTCTCATCGAAAGAGGTGAATTCTTTGTCGATCTCAAACTCTTGCTGGTAGGCAGACGGACTGATGGTGCCACGATCGATGCGTTCGCGTGAACAACAGGAACTGGAGTAGTGACGCTGTGCGTATTCGACTACTTTCCAGGGACGTGTATAACAGTTGACGCATTCCTGCACATAGAGCGGTAGTTCGGCGCTGAGAAAATATATACTCTTTATTTAACTCGACATGAAATTTTATGTGTATATTACTTACATATTTTCTTTCGGCACAACATGTTCAATGGTGCGTATCTTACGCGGAATGATTTTAACAGCCACATCAGTAGGTGGAAAATCGAGTATATGCTTCAGTGGGTCCCTATTCAATATATTCATATGTTGTGTAAGAAATTCTTCATAATCCAACGGCTCAACGGGCTCCGTAAGCGAAAGCTGAGTAAAAAATGTATGACAGTACAGCACTATTAATTGTTGTATATTACAAATATTTATAGTCTGAAGAATATTTAGATCAAAATACTAAATATTCAGAATGCTATAAACACTAATTTATGTATATGCATGATTAATATAATATCTCAGCTTTACACGTAAAACTATTAAAGAAGTTATATATAATCCTCCAAATACGTTTTAATTACATGGGGTGAGCGACCTACATTTGTGTAAGCACATATGAGCCCCACCCAATTTTTAAGCAGCTTACATCACCCCTCCTCCCACCTTCTGAACTTACTACTCTAAGAAAACTCACCGTTGATGAACACATCGAGCCGGAATCCACTGCCTTTGTTTGCAAATGATTAACGACGACATTTTTTCGCACCTCGGACGAATTGTGCCTGCGTATATGGTTTAGTAAAAGTGAAAATTTTTAGTTTTGGTGAAAGTAAATAGAAACATACACTTTGTTGCGCTCATGCACTGAGCTGAGCCGGTAAATTTCCGGCTGTGCGAAAAAGAACTTACTTCGTTAATTTCTGAGCAAAAGAACGCTGTGAACCAGACATTCTGTAAACTATATTAACTTTTATTAAGATTCACAACAATTTCTGCTTTTTTTTACTAAAACTTCATATTTATGTACTTTGCCAATCGGTCGATTTTTCCACTGTGTACAAGTGAAAATAAAAATGGCCGCTGGCTACTTCGCCCATCTGTCACTTTTGACAGTTGACATTTTTGTTTATTTTTCAAAACTGTCAAAAGTGACAATCAGCTGCTGTATGTAAATAAATCGGTTATTTACTTTTAAACAGCTGTTGCAAACTTGTTGCGTTTGTATAAAAATAATCTTTGTTGGTGTTGGTGTTTGTTTACCTCGTTTGAGGCGAATTCGCGTGTATCGATGTCGTTTTGTTTACATTAATTTGGTGGCTATATCAGAGAACGTATATCATATATCATATACGTTCTCTGTTATCAGCTGTAATTTGACAAGTGCATTAAGAGAGCTTTTGTCGGTTTCAAAAGTTTCAAATTGATAAAATGAATATTTATATAAACAAGTAAGGAAGTGTTAAGTTCGGGTGTAACCGAACATTTTATACTCTTGCAATTTGCATGGATCAAAGCAGGGGAAACACGTTAGGGCGTAGCAAACCTTTATATAAAACTAGAAAAAACGTTAACCTCAGCTGCGCCGAAGCTCGAATACCCTTCACAAGGGCATTTCTTATAGCTTAAGAGGATATAAAAAGATCTTTATTTTGATATTGATCGATCAGGTTGTATGGTAGGTATGTATGTGTGTATGTGTATGCATGTGGTCCGATCTGAACAATATAGACTGTAGTGTTGCCTTGGACAAGAGTAGTTTTTTTTGGAAGAAAAGTAACGTGTGCAACTTTATTTACACTTTAAGGGGCAAATTACCCTTCTGTTTACATTTTATGGGATCAATGACCCCTTTGTCTCCATTTAGGTCAATGACCTTTTAAGCCAAGTCCGCCACCATTGTTTATACTTAGCCAAGTCAACAACCTTTGTTTACATTTGAGGCCAATGAGCCTTTTTTTACATTTTATGGGGTCAATGACCCTTTTGTTTACATTTAGACAAGTCAATAACCTTTGTTTACATTTGGAGCCAATGAACCTTTTGTTTGCATTCTATGGGGTTGATGACTCCTTTGTTTACATTAAGAGTTCAATAATCCTTTTGTTTACATTTAGCCAAGTCAACAACCTTCGCATATATTTTGTGTGATTGGCATATATTTCAGACAAAAAACTATAGCATATCCAATATTATAAATTCAGCTATTATTGCTAAGATTCCTACATATTGACCGATATATGCTACGGTATAAAACCAACCGGAAGTTTGAAAATTTTAGATTAGGCATACAAGTATGGGAGATAAGGATAATGTTGACCCGATTTTATCTATTTTTGGCATTACTACATATTATTAACTGAAAAAGATGCTCAGTGAGTTCATAAAGGTACCTCGCATACCATTACATAAGGAGTAAAGTCAACCGGATGTTTGAAAGTCCTGATTTTAGTTATTTTGGCGCTAGGGAAAGTTTTCACCCGATTTACAGGCATTATTAGTGCGAAGTTTTATCCCGTTATATCCTATGGTGTTTGATTTGTATACTGCAAAGTGAGTGCATCAGATGGAATTTAAAGTTGTGTTATAAACGAAGTAGGCGTGGTTTTTGGTCGATTTTAACCATTTTTATACTGTAATATAGGAATGTCAGGATAATGTCACCAACGAATTTGGATGAAATTGATTGAGTAGGTTCGGAGACATGGGCTTTAAACTATAGTTGAGCAGCCCCTCGTCCAATTTTGATACCGACTTCTATTAAGTCCACTTGTGCCATTTTGGGTGTAAAATTTTATGTCTCTGAGGCATTTATTTATTGATTTATTGCATTTGAGGAGTTTTTAACAAAACGGTTATATGGGAGCGGGTGGGGTTGTTATTCGATTTTACCAATTTTCACATTGTCATAAGAGATGTCAAATAAATTTGTGTTGTGCAAATTTGTGTGGTATAGCTTGCATAGGGGGCGGGGCCAAGCCTATTCATTAAAGAGTTTTAGCATAAAATTTACAGTTTACCAAATCACAGTTTTATACCTTAATTTGCAAATACTTGACTGAACTTATTGTATATCAAATCTATCTAGAGAATCGAATGATTATCTCCTGAAATGTAAGTGTTTAAGTGTCGCTACTTAAAGTGCGATAACTGAATAAATAAATATACAATAAGCATTAAATTTCACATCCTAGATTGTACGGGTGATATTTAATATCTCAGAAATCTCGATATCAACCACAATCACTCCTACTTCTCATATACCACAATTTGAATTTTTGGAAAATCGCGTCAATAATTTCACTAGCCTCTATATACCTAATATACATTTTTTTCAATCATCAGTCGATTTTATAACGTACTTATGCGTCAATATGTGAGTTATGTATCTTAATGCAACTCGTGAGCATATTTTTCTGCTAATAGTATGTCATGCTGAAAAAAATTTATAAAATCACGTCAATACGTTCTCTAGCCTCCATATACATAATGTAAAAATGTTCGAAGCTCCCGTTGACTTTATATCATATGTATGTATTTATCGGTCTATATGGACGTATGTACCATATATAATATTATCGAAAGCGTGAGAACTCGGTCCACGAATTACTATATTGTAGTTTCTTTATGCAACATATAATTATAATATAGTGCTTTCCAGCTGACTTCAAGCCCGATAGACTGATATTCGACTTTCCTCTATTTAACCGTTTATGTTGGTCAATATGTTTGAAATTTTAACTAAATTAAGTAGACACGTATTCCTAAACATAACGTGATTTAACGCTAAAAATGAATGAAACCAAAGGACTTTGGCCTAAATCCAATATCTCTAATATTATTACCTTCGATCATCTAGTTGACCTTTTCCTGATTTAGTCCCTTTGGGTTGAGTACATATCACACATATCTCAACTTAGTAAATTAGGTTGTTTTAAATATAAATATCTCGGACTTGAAATGTAGTAATGAAGCTAAGTGAATCTATGGTCTATAATATATGTAGGTAGATATGCATATGTATACAAAGTTATTAAGAATAAAAATATGATTATAATCCAATCAATGTTTTGTCGAAGGACTAATGTTGAATTCTTATGCAACATTTTTTCATACCAAGTTTTGTCAACATCTGAAAATATTAGGTTCCCTACTTGTTTATAGTAAGTTACCACAAACCAGGTGTGTAGTGTACTACACACGTCTTTAAATCTCGTAACAGTTATTTAAGGAAATCGATAGTTTTATATTGTTTTTAATTTTTGACAATAAAATATTTAAACGAAACACATAAATAAATATTAATTTTTTTTCCTTTTTTTCGTTTTTTTTTTCAAGCACAGTATATTAACAAAATTCTGTTAATCGCATCATTCATCAAAGTCAGCCTACATGCATAATTTTAATTTATTTATGCATAATATATGCCATACACTAATGTACATAAATATTTTACGTTCACTTTTGATTGTTATCTCAAAAACAAACATCAAAACGTATAAACACGTGAGTTATAAATAATATATAGATATGTAGATATATATATATATATATATGTATATCTCTAGGTGTATATTATATGGATTTATCTAAATTTATTACATATACACATATTAACTTTAAATGATTCTGACAATAAATTAATATTTTTTATTAATTTATTCGATTTAGTCTTACATTTAACGACGTCTGGAAATCGAATTCAACTAATTCATTTGTGATTTGGGGCTTTCGTGAAGTTCCGTTTGGAAAGGCAACAAACACACACACTCATACAATATAATAACAACAATAATAATAATTCAAAACAAAGATAAAACGATCGCATTGCTTGTTCGTTTTTTGTCACATGATTTCAAGGTTGAGGCAAACGAGTTCCATCTTCTGCCAAATTATATAGATGAGTAGGTGGGTTCGCCTGTATTGTACGGTGAATGTGTAGCCTAGCATTCACTTGTTGTTAGAGCTCTGCAATTCTATATTAGTTCAAAGTTTGACGCTCAAATTCAGCCACGCTGGGTAATTAAAGATTGTGAAAGAAGATGCTTCGACACGACGCAGATCAAATTATAATAAAAGTGTTATTATGAAATCGGTTATTTATGGATTCACGCTTCTGCACCGTTCTGTGCCGTGCGTTGCTCTCTGTGCTATTTCTTCTTTTCTGCATATGCATGTATGTATGTGTATACATTTAATGTGCTCGATTTCAAATTAAATTTTTTTGTGATTATCATATCGTGATCCTTTCACTTTGATGCGAACACCGTCAAAAAATAATCGTATGTATGTACCAAGAAGACAAGTGACGAGGCGACATAGAACTAAAATAAACATGATGGAATGCTAATATAGCATAAGAGTAAAATTAATTTTTTTTAAAGAATAAAAATATAGATAATTTTTTACCAGTGATCATATTAGATTTTTATAAGGTTGCCAATCATGACACATATAGAAGTAATACAATCTTTAGTGCGTACTATAGATAAATGGCCGATTCTTACTCACAGCCACTAGCCTGGGGCCCGTGCTCCTTCAATTCGACAGCCACTGGAATTACGAAATACTCGCATTCATTCTACCACTGTTTCAATCTGTATTATTCAGAAACTTTCTTTGATGTACTTTTAGAGTTCTAGGTTCAGCATGATATTATTTTTATCTCTTCTTTTTGCGATTTCTTATCAATATTTGTTAGCATAGCGTTGACAGACTTCTTTCCGTGATTTTTCAAAACATAACTTTTTTTTTTTTAATTCAGCTCTACTGAAGACTTTCAATTAGTTTCTATTCACCTAAGCGACTTTTGCTGAGTCATAATTGTACGCCAGTCGTTTCTTTCACGTAAAGTTATTTTTGGAACGGGCCAGGTTTTATTCATGACCCCTCAGAGCTTACGACAAAAAAGGGCTTGCTTAGAGAACCATAAAGTATTAGTTTGTTGATAAAAAGAGGATTTCAAGCCTCAGTTTCTTACTCAATCTAATTTAACATTTTTTGAAATGAATGACAATGAATGGTGGTGTCTCTTCAAGATCTCAAAGTCAATTTAAATTAATTAGATAAGAAAAAGTATGCTCTAACGTCTGTGAATGGAATCAAGAAGG